ATAGTTTTCTCCAGTTTTCCCCAAAGTTTCAGCCAGATTGGAACACTCTCCGAGTTTTCGCGGAGTTTTTTTCCTTTTTTGCCGACGCCCTGAATAACCCACAAGAAATCAACAGAAAATTGGGATAATCTGAAAAAAAATGACGAAAAAAACAGGAAAAAGCTCGTTCTTCGGCTTAAAATTGAATTTTTAGCGCGCGGGCTACGCGGGCTACTGTAAGCGTTGCGAGAGTCAATGGCTTTTCCGAGCAATGATCCTTTAAAAAATTCGCTTTTTGTTGTTTTTTCGCTATTTTTTGCAGAAAAAAAAGTTATTAGTGAATAAAAAAGATTTTTTGCGAATCGAATATGTTTTCAGCTATGGAAGACACTATAGTGATAAAAAAATTCTTCTCTATCGCACCTCCGACGCCAACAAAACAGGGGAATAGTTCGTTTCGAAATTTTTTGATTTTTTGGAAGATTCAAGAATAAATTCATATTTCCATGACTTCAAAAACCTGGAACACAGTTTAACATCGACAAAAACAGAGTAAAATGTAAAAAATTCGCTTGAAATCGTCATGTTTTTAATGAGTTTCCAGGCATGTTTCCCTTTCAAACAATCTATTCTCTGAGGGAAACAAAACAGCTTCCGATATACTTAATTCTGAAAATAGCCGGAATTTCCAGAATTCCGTTTCGAACACATTAAACGTCTAATAGAAATAGAGAGCTCTGAAACTGTCTTGCTCTCTGAAAAATTCGAATGTGCAGTGCGAATTTAAAACACGATAATCTGACAGCAAACTTCATTTGAGCTGAATTTTATAGGAATTGAACACTTTATTATCAACCAACTACGAATAAGCAAAACGCGAATTGAACTAGTTATCATCCCTGTTGGCTGATATTTAGGCGAGAGATTTTGCCGGCTGGAAACGAAGTGGGCCGCCACGTTGCTTAATTCTCTTCCGAAGGGGATCTGGAAGCTCTCCAAGTCCTTTTTTGTCCTGTAATAAAGAATTGCAGCGATCACTTGTAATCATTGAGACACTAACATTTTGAAACGTTTCAAGAACTGATATAAGTGTTCTTGTTGAAGAAAGGGCTGTTCCGTTGCAAGTGTGGACATATTTGGTTGTGCCGTCAGCAGTCTTGTATTTGATACCAAGTCTTCTTGCTTGAAAATCCGTGCAATTACTGGCTGAAGAAACCTCTCCATACAGTTTCCTTCCAGGCATCCATGCTTCGATATCGAATTTTTTAGCAGCAGATGCGCCAAGTTCTTCAGAAGGCATTTCAAGTTGTCTGAAAATACATAGCTCAAGATGACAATGAAAGGGTTTTTGATACCTGCAATGTATTCCCAGTGCTTGAAATGTTCCCTTCTGAACCTCTACCACATAATCCAATTCAGCTAAACTTTGCTCTGGAGTGCACACAACAAACATCTCGACTTTACTGAATTCGTGTACTCGATACAACTTTGCTTCGCTTGCAGATTTACTTATTTCCGTGCGGAAGCATCTGCTGAGAGAGACCAATCGAATTGGGAGTTGTTCTTCTTGAAACGTTCTCCCTCTCAAAAAAGCAGCGATTCCCATTTCAGCGGTACCAGAAAGTTTAGTATGAGCCTCATCGCCGGCCAGAGTGTACTGTATCGGATGTTCGCTTCTTTGCATGACTCCACATGCTTGTGTGACTTCTCCACTTACAAGATCAGGTACAGTAATTGGGCGGAATCCGAGTGCACACACTCTCTCATAGGCATAATCCAGCAGAGCTTTTTCTAGACTCGCAAGAGAACCGAGAAAGACGTATGATCTCTGTCCAGAAGCCTCTGTTGGATGTAACAAGGACCTCCAATTTTGAACAAGTTTCTCAGCAGTCAGACAGTCATCCTCTCGTTTGTCTCCCCATTCTGACACTTTCTTCGCGTTCTCTTCACTTCCTTGAGGCACACCATCCTGTGTCATATTTGGAATTAGAATGGCTTCATCGTAGAGTTCGTTCCAAAGTTGCGCATATTTCTGTTCGTTGATGTCATTCGGTTTCTCTCCGGAATTCATCATTTTCTGAATCACCGCCCATTTTTCATGAACTTTATCGATGTCTCCGACTCCTTTCCGATTTCTGAAAAATGTTTCGGTATTGAACACTGGGATTTATTATTCTGCTACAAAAATCCGGAGCTGTGGGAGAGGAACGCTCGTGGCCGAAGGTCTCACAACGAAAACTACCGTAACCTAAAAACTTTTATTTTCCAGATTTAAGTATCTCGTTTTATTAACTGATTTCTGTCGATTTTTCCATTTGTTTCTCGCCAAATTAGTCGGAAACTTGAAACAGTACGGAAATCGAGAAAAAATGTAATTTTAGGTTACGGTAGTTGTCGCTGTGGAACCTTCGTTTCTCTTCCACAGCTTCCATTTTTTTTGTAAAAGACTATTATCTCTTACAAAATATTCTCCTTAATTGCCTCTATATTCTTCTCATTTAAAAGAAATTCAAAATTCAAATCAGGTCGAAGAGTCGGAGGTGTTGAGTCTTCTTCAGAAGTCGACGCTTCAGTTGATGTGAATCGTCTGGCTAATCCGACGTTCAAGTTTCTGCTCCTCAGAGCCAGCTGATACAACCTTCTCATTCTCAAAGTACCTGCAACTATATGAATAGCAGTCTTTCATTTATCTATTTTTCAAAGTAATTTGATATGGACAACATTATTTTATCATTTAAATAAGTTTCGGAGAGAAAATAATATAAATGATCATTCATTTAGAACAAAAAGACATATATAATAAAGTGAGATCGATGAGTTACTGCATCTTCTTCGAATCATAAGCTTCAAACTTTTGAAGCGCGAGATCAATCATCTGCGTACAATGAGCAATATTCGCAGGGTCCATGTCTTTATTCGTTATCTCATTCTTGAATTTCTCCAAAGTACCTGCCATTCTAATCAACTTCTCTTCTGTTTCATTGCTCACAGGTGGAAAACATTTCCAGAACTGTCTGCAGATTTCACGCACCGAGCTATGAATATCCCTGATCTTCCCTAGTTCCTGCGCAGACTGGCACCAAGCCTCGGGAGGCGAAGCTTTATCTTCATCCTCTCTCATTGCCTCTTCCATTTCAAGAGCATCCATTTCTTGTTGATCCAGAAGCATTTCATTTCGATGAAGGATATCTTCAACAGACCAATTTTGAAAATAGTCAGCTACGATTCCTTTGTACTTTGCCACATCTTTTTTCGAGTAGACAGATTGAGAAGCTTTTGCTGACGAATTGATGCGGACAAGCTGAACTTCTTCCTCAATTTCTTTCTCAGCAAGATCCTCGGATTCCAATCTCCCTTCTGTTTCTGCTACGAGTCTCTGAAATAAATAAACATTTCTGATGAACAAGAAGGAGGATGACTCACATCCAAAACACCGAACCCCTTCTTTCCAGATGTTTTTGTCTCTCCTGTTTTCCATGAACTGGCCAAAATTTTTTCGGATAAATAGTTACATCTTTTGATAAGGGTGTTTCTCGTAGTTTTTGGTAGCGATTCTGATTTCTGGAAGATTAGTATTTTTGACTCATGCAGTAAACCACAAACTCACATGAACAAAATCTCTGAGACCATTGTCATCGATATGGTCCAGATCGAATCGTTTTCTTTGAATCCTCTCAGATGTCATCTTTGTCATTTCTTCTTCGTCGTCACGAACGCATTCAGCAAATGGATCTTTGGGATTTGGAAGAACCTCTTTTTCGCGATGAAAATAATGTGACTGGAAGAACTTCTTCCAGAATGTCTCTTCTGACATTTCATGTGGAACCAATTCGAGATTCTTCTTCTGGACTATAACATCATTTAATTAGAAATAATTCCGAATAAAAATCTCTCACCTGCTGGATAAGTGGTGTAAATCGCTTGAATAATATCTGGATTGAGATTCAATCGTACTCCATTAGTTCCTTCCTGTTGAACGATATTTGCAAGAAACGCTCCGTTGATTCCAATTCTATCTTCCGAAACGCCTTCTTTCTGATAGTAGTCTGCCCAAAAATCTTGTGGAGTGATTACTTTCGTAGCAACTAGATTTTTATAGAGCTTTTCAAGATTGCGATCTTCTTGCAGAATTTTTTGTTTCGCTTGCAACTCCACTTGTTTCGACTGGCTCTCTACTGATTTCGCTAACTCCTGCACACGATGGCGATGTTCCAATAAAGCAGCTTGAAGTTTCTCTTTGATATTATCTCGCTGCTTCGTAAGTTCTTCTTTTGATGCACCGGGGTCCAAGAACACAAAAGTAGCCTGCTCGTCGTTTCTCAAATTCAATTGCAATTGAACTTTTGATTTGTGTGGTGGTGAGACACGCTGACCTGCAAATACATCATAAAACGAAACATTTAATACAAAAAATCGGACGCAGGTAGCCGTAGCCGAAGACAGCTACATCGAAAAGTGAAAAACGAGAACAACATATAGGTTACTGTAGTTAGGGCCATCGGCCACGGCCACCATATTTTCGCTTTCACAGCCCCGGTTTTTTATACTAGGATTATAACTTTGAATTAGTTTCTCACCATTGATACGGATAAATTTACATGTGAATACTTCTGGACTCGCGTTGTCTCTCCATTCAATATAATCACTAAACAGAATCAATCGTCCAATTGGCGATTTTCCTTCTCCAGCCTTTCTGTACTTCACATTATCAACTCTCACTAATGCTTCGGTTTCATCAGACATCTTAATAAGATAATTTTCAATAAAAATAGTTTGTCAAAAGAAGGTAAAAAGTAGGTGGAAACCACAATTAAAAACAAAATAAATTGCTAATCAAAAATGAAACATTTATTTAAATATGAGTGATTAAATCGGATATGTTCAAAAGTATACATTATGATTTTAATTGAATGACGGAGGAGTTCCTGATCCCCTTTGTCTTCTCATTCCAGATTTTCAAATTTTTTCTGCTCGATCAGGCAACTTTTCTACACTTTCTCTACTGATTGTGCACAAGTTGAAAATGTTGAAATAAAGCAGTTTGAAGTTGTTGTTTGACATTATCTCGCTGCTGAGCAAGCTCTTCCTGTGATGCACGGGGGTCGAAGAATACAAATGTGACCTGCTCGTCGTCGTTTCTCAAAACCAATTCCAATTGGGCCCTTGCTCTGTGTGGTGGTGACACACGCTGACCTGAAAATAAATCATGAAAGAGCACATTTTCATAATATAAGAAGGAGCGATTTTCAAAATTTTCAATTTTCATCCCAAATCACTTCGATTTCCAAAATTTCTGTGAAGTTTCAGTAAAATCACGTGAATTTCCAAAATCCCAGAACTCGAACCGTTCGAGTTCTGTGAAAAATCCCAGAAATTGCAACGTTCAATTTCTGTGAATCACGTAAAATTTCCAAATTCCCAGAAATTTTGGAAATCGAAGTGATTTGGGATGAAAATTGAAAATTTTGAAAATCGCTCCTTCTTATATCTTTAAATTAATTTTTTACCAACGATACGATCAAAATTGCATGTGAATACTTCTGGACTGGCGTTGTCTCTCCATTCGATATGATCATCAAACAGAATTAATTGTCCAATTGGAGATCTTCCTTCGGCAAATACTCATTAGCTTGATGATCTTTTGCTAATTGCAAATTTCGTTTGCTAAATTTTGATCATTTGCTAAATAGAGAGCCTAAAAATTAAAGCAAAAATAGGAATATTCTGTGAAAATTGAGTCAAAAAGTACTGAAATTAGCAAATAACAGGAAAATTTCCACTTTAGCAAATGATAAAAATTTAGCAACTGAAATTTAGCAAGTGAGACTATTTTAGCAAATGAGCGAGTTTAGCAAGTGAGCATATTTAGCAAGTGAGCATTTAGCAAAAGATCATCAAGCTACTATGCTTGTCTGAGAAAAAAAGGTTGAGATGCAGAGAAAAAGTGTCTGCGTCTCCTCCTTATGTGTGCTATTTAGGCTCTCCGCTTCGATATCGCTACCGTATTTAGACTGCAAAAAATACTCTCTAACCTTTTTTTATCAGACAAGCATAATAATGAGTATTTGCCTCTTCCTTCTCCACCCCGTCTATACTTCACATTCTCAACTCTCAATAATGCTTCGTTTTCATGAGCCATCTTAATAAGCTGATTTTCAGTAGAAATAGTCTCGAAAAAAAAGGTAGAAAATAGGTGGAAACCACAATTCAGAAAAAAAAACTAAACTTCTGATAAAAATAAAACATTCATTGGGATATGAGAGATTAAAACCCGATATGTTTAAAAGAGATTCATACAAAATTATATTAATTGAACGGCGGTCTACGTAATGGCGGAGGAGTTCCTGATCCCCCTCGCACTCCTCGTTCCAGATTCCGAAGTTTTTCAGTCCTTTCTGCTCTTTCAATTCTTACAGGTCTATCCGGCAACTTTTCTGCTCTTTCGGGGCGTTCTGATCCGTCAACGATGCCAGCTGGGCTGGCAGGATTTTCGAACTTTTCAGCGAGTTGTGGATAAAGTGGAGCCTTGTTTCCATGCGCTTCTCTTCCAACGAACTCCCGACGTTGTCCTTCCTCCTTCTTCTCTATTCTCTCGCAAACATTAGTGAAAAGATCGAATTCGATATCTGAACAATAGCTTTGCCTTTGAAAAGATGAACATCCGAGCCTTACCTTTAGCTAATTCGAATAGTAACTCATCCAGCTTCGCGTTCTTCGATTTGTCGACAATAGTTGGTGAGCCATCTCTATCAGCGTATTTCAGAAACCTTTTCAACATGTTTCTGGAACGATGTCCTGATCCTTCTCCTTCTTTGTTATCATCTTCTTCCATTTCCTCCTCTTCCTCATCTGAACATGAAGAACAAGTGTCGGATGATTCAGATTCGGAAGATACATCAGTATCTCCCCTTGTTTTCATGAAAAATGGGCGCTTCACAAACATTCTGAAATAGAAACACTATTCATTTTTGAAATATAATTAGCTTCTTACTTGTCAATGGCTTCATCGTCTTCCAAATCAACCTCCAATAATTTATCAGCACCCATAGTCGTCATGAATGTCTTGTAAACTGCTTTATGGCGGACAGAGAAATTCGAATACTTCATCAAATGCTTTGCTAATTCCACAATAGCCACTCTCATCTGTTCTTCTGGATCCGATAGATCTTCTACTAGACAGGCATCAATATCCGCGTCTTCAGGAACGATAAACTCCTTCAGCGCTCTCATTTGGTGCAATTTCATGATTTTTGAGTTGCATTGCTGAACGTCCGCTGGTGTCAACCTCCTTTTTGTGATTTTAGTGACCAAGGGTTCCAGTTTTTTAGTGACCTCATCACTGTAGAAAATGAAGGTGTCCTCTTGGTACATTGGAATGTTTTTGGTGATACATCTCAAACGTTTCTGAATGTCTAAAGTCTTGAGACGTTTCCGTTGTTTTCCTTTTTGTTCAGCCACATTATCATCTTCTAGGAAATTTTTGCCGACCTTCTTGAACTCTATCTGCTTGAAAGTATGCTTCAACTGATGAACATTGATAGGATCTCTGATGCGAACACGTCTTGGAGGTTTCAGCTCTCGAAGGCGTTGTAGTCTTCTCATTTCTGCAACAAGGTTCTGAATGATAACGTTTTTATAGAATTTTCTTACTTTTTTGCATGAAATCGATGTCAAGAATGTACATCCGTCCTCGGTTTGCAATTAGGATATGAGAAACCAATTTATCCGGCATGTTCATTCCCAACAAGCTAGTTTTCTGTAAGATTTTTAAAACTTTATTTGTAAAAGCCTAAACACTGAAACCCACTTCTGAATCAAGCATCACACATCTACCGTCACGAACGAATTGTGTAAGACATGCGGAAGGCCGAGAATAGGCGACAGCTGTTGTGCAGGGAACTGCATCATCGTGATATGGGAACTGAAACATCATCAGTTCATTGGTTGTCTTAACAAGACTAACTTACTAAAGTCCACTTTATTTTTGGTGCTGTCGTCCAAGTGAGCCTCATTGTGTCGTAAGTGACTCCACTATTGGCATTGCCCTTTTCGCTCACTCTCTGTAATCAAACGATTTGGTAAAAAAAAAACCAAAAAAAAAAATAAAATATTACCGCAATCAAGTTATTCTCTTTCAACTGCTCATGTACTTTTGAAGAGTGAAACAGCTCGACATCATAGTTTGTTGATCCTCGATTGTCTTCTTTCATCGGTATTTTTGTTACTGTCGTCGAGCTAAGGTCGAATGCAGCCACAAGAACAGAGTGGATTGCAACACACATGTCAGACGCTTTTCTTGAAATGACCCAAAATTTTAGAAGTGGAAGATCTGGATATTCTTCCAAAGAATGCGTTTTGACGGCGCATTCTTCATCTGCTCCATAAAAATTCACAATGAACACTCGAAGTGAAGTGATTGGACAGAATCTGGAAATCACAACTTTTTGTTTTGATTCTTCATCAATCTCCATTTATAACTTACGTTCTATTTGATTCCGAACTGGCAATAGCGTTCACACTGCTGACAAGAGAGGCGATTTCTTCTTTCGCTTCCATCATCTCCTCATCTGTCTTATATCGGGTATAAATGATTAAATTCCCATTGTTTTCGATAGCCGGTGATGCAGGTTCGTCATTCAATTCTTTTGTTACGCGAGCGACTTCGGAATTTTGATCGGATCGCTTTTCTGAAACATATCATTAAAGTATAACTCGTAGTTGATCTTTCAAACCAACTGATATTAAAACGAGCGTTAAAATTGTGTTCAATCTGCTCTGGCGACTCCACGGCAAGAGCTTCAATAGCCATTTGCCACCCACAGGTTGAGTCGATATCGATGTCTTCCGGACACGGTTTTCCTGTTTTCTCTATAAGCTCTCCCAACTCAGCACGTGTGATAAGATCCGTTGTCCATTCAGCGTCCAACATCCTTGCCAAATAATCCGCCAAAGCAATTCGAATTTGCAGAGATCCATGAGGATATACATCAGACAGGATTCTATGCATCTCAAAAACGCTTTCAACGCACCATGTCCAGTAATCTTTTTTGATTTCCAGCTTTTTTTGTTTTACTCCTTCTCTGATTGCGATATCGAATGTTTCGTTGGTTTCTTCCGCGAAATCGGCATTCCGATCCAGCACGACCACGGTTTTCATGTCTCGTTGCTCCATTTGAACTAATTAATATGACATGATAAATATTATACTCAATTATCTAGTGTGCGGTATCAAATATTCAGTAGTAATTCAACCTGTTAATAGTTTTGTAAGCGAGGCGATGAGAACATAATTTATGATTAAGCAGGCATAAATATATTTTATAATACATGGATGGAAATCAATGTTTCACTTTGCGGCAACTTTTGTTTGGCTTTTGACAAGCATGGTTTGAGCAAGAAGACTTTGATGCTTGTAGTAGTTGACACGAACCGGGTCGGACTTTTGGAGTTCACTGTAGAGCTGTTTGGCACGCTCTGCACTCTCGTCTGCTTTAACCTGGTTTTCGATGTTCTCCAGCATTATATCAGCAATGAAAGCGAGAAGAAACGGTGAGCGCTTTTTTTCTGGTGTAGTATCGTACAGATCCTCCACAAAACTGACCACATCGCAGTTCGCAGTGATTCCATCATTGATCAATAGGCCCGTCAAATAATTCCAAGCACTTTCGTTGTTTGGAATGTTCCGAATGAACTGTTTGGCCAAACTAGAATTTGAACTGTTATAAAAAGACAAAAAAAATGGAAACCCACTTGATCTCGATATCAATCATGCTCTTGTCTTCGATTTTATCGTGAAGAGTAAGCAAGAAATATCGATAATTGTAGACTGAGTTATTCCGACTGTCAATTAAGAGCATCTTGAGAGCAAAGCTCAGCTCGGCGTCCAGAGGAACCTTGAAAGTTCGAGCAACCCACTGACGATGTTGCCAAGCGTGATAGTTCTTCTCTTCGTCTTGAATTATTTTCTCACAAAAACTGAGCTCGCCCTGAGCCACACTCTCGCCGATCAGCTCCACGATGAATCGACGGTGATGCCAAACTTGATAGTTTTTAGAAGATTCCTCAATGATCTCGTCAAGATAACGCATCTCTTTTTTCAGATCACATCCCAGTTCGGTAAGACAGAGACGACGGTATTGCCAGACAGTATAGTTAGCAGGATTCAATCTGATGCAGTCCTCAAGAAGAGTCATCACACGCGGTGATTTCTCTTTCTTTATGAGCACAGCCCGGAAGTACGCGAACGCATCGATAACTGAAAAGTTGGAAATCCGACTAGTGAGCGGATATCGATGTGACACTTACAGTCCTCGGTGACGGCGATTTTCACAGCCACCTCTTCGTCTTTACCGGGGTAGATGGGAGTCACATCCTTCCAGTCAGCGTTATCTTTGTACAAAGGAGAAGAAGAAATCTCGTTCATCACTGTTTACCTGAAAAAAATTAATGAGAAATTTTCAGAAATTGTCTTTTAAATTTCGTAACGAAAAGAGCATGTTCAAAGTTTTGAGACATTATCATCTCAGAGTGTACGAACGATAAATACCTATTATGCTCTGACCAGTAGAGTTCTGAAACGTTACAGCTGTATTATATATCATTTTTATTAGTTTAAAGCATAGTTGCAAAATCTCGGGTCGGCCCGTCGAGAATTTTGGCGGGCCGGGCCGGGGTCTGTACAGGCGCTAATTTTTTTTTTCGAAATTTTCGAAATCAAAAATTTATACAAAAATGACCTATTTCTGATTACTTTCAACTTTGTTAATTTTGTTAAAAAATGTAACCTTTTTTCTTTTTTTATTCAAATAAATTTTCTAATTTTTCATCGGAAATTTTTCAACAGTGGTAGGCGGGCCGGGCCGAGAAAATTCGTCTACCGGCTCCGCCGCCCGGCCTTTTGCAACTATGGTTTAAAGTTTTGTTTTTCACAGGGCTATTACCGAGTGTCGCCATTATTTTTTAACCTGTTCGAAAAACGACGAAGAAAATATTCAAAACTAAACAGTGTGCAGTGTGTCGTAAAATTGCGCACATCGCGCAAACACTTCGGCTCCCATGTCGATTTACGGACAGCCAACACGATTTCATACCAGCAATTGCATAGAACAACGTTTCTTGAAAATCATGGATTCGGATTTCAATTTTCAAAATGGAGATGATATTCGCAACATGGGTCTTGAAGAAATGCGTAAGTATCACCATATCATCCGAGAAGTATCAAACAAACTGAATTTCAGGACGACAGAAAGTTCTATTGGCAAGTGAACTAAAAGCAATTGATGCACAAATTAGTGATCTTGCTTTCAATAACTACGGAACTTATGCAGATGCTGGGAGAGCTACTCACGATTGCTCAAAAACAGTTAACGCTTCAAACTACATTAATCAAATTGGAAAGTAATTTTTTCAGTTTGGTGAAATGCGCGACAAGACTGTTGATCTTTCATCACAAGCAGAGGAGCTAACGAATGCGTTTCAAGAATTTCGTGTGAAAGCTAAGCAGCTATCAGAAGAGCAAGATCTCGTGAGAAAAGCCCTAGACAAATCTAATCCAATTTGGGAGCTACTGACTCTTCCCTCGGTAAATATCCTTTTTTGAACTAATTATGAGCTAAATATAACAACATTTCAGCGCATGGACGTTTGTATCCGTGCTGGTTATTACGATCTAGCGTATACACTCACGAACTACGGAATGCAGCTCCAGCAACAGACTCAACTTTACAAAAATCCACTTATAAAGGTCTGAAAACCAATTTCTTTTATTTCAAGTATTTATATTATCTTTATTGTTTCAGAAAGTCGCGGATCATCTTGTTGAAGCACGCTCCTATCTTCTAGAGGAGTTGTTCAATAAGTTTGCGGGCCCTCTCGACCTCGCAGAATCTATCAAAGTTGTTAACAACGTCCGAAAAATGCCATACCTAACTGCTAATCAACTAAGAATCGCGGTGCTTCAACATAGAGATATTTACTTGGAAAAGCAAATTTTGGATATTTCAGTGAGTATCAAAGAAATTTATTAACACAACATCAAAAATGAAAAGCGAACACACAAAAATTGGAAAATTCAGAAATCAACAAGAGAAGAATTAGCTCTTCAAGTAGGCATCTCCTTCGATCACACGCAAGTAACGTTTTCCACTTGGGAGTGGAACAATTTTACACTTATCCGGATCACCTCCGCAGAGCTCCTCGACTACTCGCTCCTGGCTGAGAGAAGGCTGAGCAATCACATTCTTTCCTGAAGTCCAGTTAGCTGGTGTAGCAACTGGAGCCTTGCTTCCCAGCTGCACTCCATCCACCATACGAAGAATTTCGCTGAAACAATTATTTTAAAGTTGATAATCATCATGAGAGGGACTCACACAAAGTTTCTACCAAAAGTGGCTGGATAAAGAATTTTAGACTTGAGTTTTCTGTCTGGTCCGAACAGCATTACTGCTCTTGCCGAAAGACAGATCCCTTGCGAGTTAACCTCGTCAGGATCGATCATTCCCAACTCAGTGCAAATGGAACGATCCGTGTCCGCGATAATTTCGAATGGAAGGTGATGTCCGACAGAGAGACATCCCTTCACAACAGCGTTGATATCCTTTGCCCATGCACGATGTGTTTCTGACGAGTCGATGCTGATGGCAAGGATTTCCACGTGTCGCATGCTAAACTCGGGAGCCAGTTTGACAAGTTCAGCGAGTTCGGTAGTACAGACTGGAGTGAAATCCGCTGGATGACTGAACAGCATGAGCCAACTGAAGGGACATTCAAGATTAATGAGATTATCATGAGAAATTACTTGTCTCCAATGTAGCTATGCAAGCTCTGATCCTTTCTAAGATCGGTGTCGAAAGTAAAGTTTGGTACAGTGTCTCCAAGTTTCATTGTAAATCTGAAAAAATTATGTTATGGTGCTGAAGCGATTGGTGTGAATGAATTAACAAATAGAGTGATAACGGGAATATGCACTATTTTTAACCATTACAGGGAAACGTCGACATGATTGTACAAGCCATCGAAACGTATCGTACCAGCATGTATGACACTCTTGTTTTATTCCTGGCCGTTTTCCCGGAAAACGAAATCGTTAGAAAAAATGTGAGTATTTTTAAAAATTTGAAAGAACAATAGAAATAGAACAATTTTCAGCCAAACGCAGATCCAAGATGGGAGTCATGGCCAGTGCTTCCTCCGAATTCAATTTTGTCTCAATGGGTAATCTCGAATGTGAAGAAAATGCTGGATCTCATTACAAAGGCAGATGTGAAGTACGGTTTAGTCTACCCTTTGTTTACTATAAAGTGACCTATTTACAGGTCAGCTGTCGATTTATCGGCCGTATGGACTAAACTAATGGCAATGGCATCTTCTTTTGGAAGAATGGGTATCGATTTCCGTCCATTGATTGCTGGGAAACTGACCAAACTAGTCGAACAGCGGTTCCGACAAAATGTACAAGACGCTACCAACCGTTTGACTGGATCCTCTCGAGATATAGTTATGATTGGAATAGATCCCGCATCACTTCCTCAATTCGAATCAACACCGGATGCTCCACCTGTCGCAGCCGCTGAACTCAGTTTGTGGGATGAAATGACTATATACACAAACGGAGTCGTTGACGCCCTCAATGGATTACGGTTCATACTAACGCCAGTGATTCTGTCGACCGTTGTAGTTTCCCTTCGGGACTCTATCCGATCTATCCTGACTTGGCTTGCAACTTCGCATTCAAATTCGGCCAACTTCACTCGTGCCGTACGGATCGTTTGTACCAGCGTTGCCCCATTTTTTGAGAAATGTATTGCTTTCTTCTTCCCACCAGCGACGATCAGCAAAATTTTCGGTTCTTCGATCTCGAAGCATCAATACGTAAGACTGTAAACATGTGTTTGATATTAACTTTGTCGAAATTTTCAGCTTCAATTCATCGAGTTTGATATGAAGCAACTAGCTGCATCTTGTGATGGAGCTGACAAAATAGAAGACATTGTCAAACCACTTTTGCAAAAGAAAACTTTGGAGGAAATCGGTCTTGAGAGTGTGTTACAAACAAAACCTCACGAGGAAATGGGACCAACCAAATTCTTCTTGGAGCCGACTCCCGAAGAACAAACTGAAACTCATGAAGCCGAACAAACGAATCAATCAATGAAAAACACTGAAAATCACCAAAACACCGATGTCTATGCCAACTCTACTGCGAACCAAGAAGAACGAAATATTACGAACGAAGAGGTTCTAATAAAGTCAGAAGAGACGGCACCAATCGATGAACCTAGTACTGATGAAGCAGAACAAACTTTTGAAGAACCGGACAATGATAGCATAAAAGAAGAGGTTTTGATTACCCAAACAGCACCAGAGCCTCATTTGGAGACTATCCGTGAGGATAAAATTGTCGAGGAACCTGCCTCGAACGAAGAAATGCTCACAGAACCAATTCAGGATGATGCTTTCGAAAAAGAAGAAGGATGGGGTTGGGGAGAAGAGGAAACGCCAATAAAGGAAGATGAAGCAGAAGTGAGCATTCCGAAAAAGAAAGGCGGAAAAAATTATTAATATTATAAATGTCTTTAATTGGGTTGTAACTATTGAGTGATTGTGATTTTAAGCATGTAAAGTATAAATCATTTGGAACAATTGACGAATAACAAAAATAAATTATTCAATTAAATGTAAAATTCTTTATTATGACAGAGAGTGAGAGTGAAACAGGAAGAAAATGATTACGCAAGTATCACAGAGCAGTAAATAGCAAAAATGAGTATTTAGGTTACAATGGTTCAAAACCAGGACGATATAGATTACAGGGATGAGAGAGATCCAACGGATACACATTCATTTAAATTCCGCCCAACTCGTCGATTTCAGCGTCGTCATTATCGATTCCAGATCGTTCTCGCCGTAACACAACGACGTCTTCTGAATCTGACGTCGGGCTCGTGGTACCGGCACCGTTTCGTTGAAGTAGTTCCTAGAATGTGGAAGATTAAACAGGTCTTAGTGATTAGAAACAGTTATGGACAGACAAAAGCAACACTGTTCCAAACTAACAATACTCACTGCTTGCTCTGGTTCGTCAGTTTTCTTCTTTGATGGAGCTGACCAGCGTTGGGCAATGCCTTGCCAGACACTACCAGGGAGACGTTGATGTTCTTTGATCATAGAGCGAATTTCCCGTTTAACAGTTTTTCGAACCTGAAAAAGAAGCTAACAAATCCAAGAATATCCTAAGAATTTCTTACCTCTTCAGGTGTTACAGTGTCGAAATCAAAGTAGATTGGTTTACCAAGATGAGTGATCATTTTAACAGGAAATCCTCCATAAATTGGGCACAACGGGATTTTCGTCTTCTCATAAATCCATCGGAAAAAGCTTCGACCCCATTCGGGAGTTCGGAACGATTCGCGACAGTTTTCGGTGAACATTGGAATCACTGGCGTCTTGCTTCCAATAATCACTTTCGCGAATCCCAGACGTTTGCCCCACAAAATGTCATAGACATTGGGATCCGAGAATAAAGCTTCTCGAACACCACCAGGAGCAATACACAACAGATTTCCTTCTTTCAATTCTTCTGTACATTCTTCAACGGTTCCAGCCGTGATTGAGAATAGTTTACAAAGTGGACGCCAGCCAGGAATTTTGAAAATAAACTTGTCACCAACACAGTGCAGCGATCGATTTTTATGTATCACTAGTTTCGAGATGAGGTAGTAGACATCGAGTGGAAGGCATCCGTGATAGTAGATGAAAAGGGCTGATCCTTCATCAGGAACATTTTCAATCCCTTTCAGTTCGTAGCCATGCCAAACGTTTCCGACACCATCCCAGAATGAAGCGATTGCCACTCGTGCTCCTTCCCAATAACTCGTATGATACGCTTCTCGGATTTGATGTCGGTGACCGTAAATGTGCACGAAAATCACACATCCGTATATGAAGAGCACCAGGAAGATGGGGAAGATGAAGAGGATGAAGAATGGGAGCAGAAGCCAGAGTAGATACTGAAATAGATACAATAAAGATGTTTCTGTAAACTGTTTCAATTTCAGAGATTTCTAATAATACCTCTGGGACAAACTGATGAATTGCATGTGCTCCGCTCAAAATAATTTCATGAAGCCATAGAAACATTTAGCTAATATTCTGCGGTAGTAAAAATTGCTTGTGAACTAATCATTTGGGGTGAGCAGAATGGAGCCATTTCGGGTAGAATCAGAGAGAGGAGAGCGAGAGAGCAAAGAAAAGATATACAGTGGAATGATGAGAGAGATTAGACAAGAAAGAGAGGGTGCACTCGCAGCTGATGATGCAGGATGCACGGAGAGACTGTGTTTTCGGGAATGCATAGAGACAAAAAAAGTCATTGATTAGTTTTATGATAGTATGATTAGTAGACAAATTTGAGTGTATCTAGTTAGGTGTTGAGGCACACTTCATCTCCAGTTTTTCTATCGTTTTAATGTCGTTAAGTCAGGGATGTTCGGAATGACCTTTTCGGAATGTCGAAAATTCCGATTTTGAAAATTTCGGAATCTCGGAATATTCCGATTTTTAAAAATTCGGAATTTCGGAATATTCCGATTTTAAAATTTTCGGAATTTCGGAATTTTCGGAATGTTTTAAAATTCAATTTTCATATTAGAAACTCCATTTTCCTATCACAAAAAAACCAAAAACTGGTGAAAATTGAAAGAAAGATTTCGGCAGCGCAAAATACTATCAAAAGTAATTCAGGTCGAGACCTGGGGGGTACGACGAATTCGAACGTTTTCAAAATCGAACAGACCTAAAATCGAACTGATTCAATTCAGAACAGTCCTTTTTTCGCACACTTACCAGAACAGAACGCGGACAGAATCGAACTGTTACAAGTTCGAACTGGTAAGGGGTCGAACTGTCCCAAATTGGAACGCTGCTTTGTGTGTGCTTTCATGCGCGCTCTGTTGCAATTTTCCTCCGACGGACCGTAGTCAGAAAATCTAGGTTCCAAAAAAAAGCTTCGGAAAAATTCCGGTTTTTTTAATTCCGAAAAAATCTTTCGGAATTATTCCGACCGGAATTTCATTCCGAATTTTTTTCTTGGAAATATTCCGTTAGGAATATCATTCCGAAAATGGTCGGAATTTTCGGAATTCCGTTCCGAAAATCCCTGTGTTAAGTGTATATAAAAAAACGTAGTTTTCCAAAGTTTCTCACTTCTAAATAATCCAAATCGATATAGTCAACCGCCCATGTAATCCATAGAAGAAGCACTTCTACATGTGGTTGGAGGAATCCTGGCCAGGCAACATCTGGAAAAATTTGACACAATGGATGAGCAAAGGTTACATACTAGAGGCTAATAAAAGAATATCAAGCGTCCAGGGATGTTCAGAAACGAATTTGGAATTCCGTCCATTTCGGCTGGAATATTTTTGAAGATTTTTTGACATACCCACTTGGGTTCAAGCGAGGGGGTCAGAAAGAGCGCCCCAGTAAATTTAGGAAAAATTCTAAATTCGCTGCCGAATTTCGTTGGCTGAGTTTCACAGTTTTAAATGAAGAGCGAAAAAGCGCGCCTTGCAACCAGTTGATTTTGAAGAAATAGATCATGATCTAGATCAAACCCGCGTCCAATTTAAAATTATTAAATTTCTTCTGGCTTACGAGTTTGCTGGGCTTTCTGACCCCCTCGCTTGAACCCCAGTGCATACCGTAGTCTGACTACAGTATGTCAAAGGCGCACGCGAAAAGTTTTCTTGCGGGTCTCGAGCTGAACTTTCTTTTTTTTTTGCATTTTGGAAATCTTTTCGTCAATTTTTCCACCAATTCTTGTTGTTTTTGTGATGGGAAAATGGATTTCTACTTTGAAATTTGAATGCCGGAATATTCCGAAGCTTTGAAACTTGTGATTTTCGACATTCCGAACATCTCCGCTATCAGGATTCCTACAGATTACACTAAACAACAACAATTCCTTTCTCACCTTGCAACGCCTGGATCCATTCCGAAATTGCCATGACGACCCGTCAGCGGGCTGGGAAGTAGTCAGTAATTGCAGGATTTCAGAGAAAAAATATAGTGGTTTATGATAAAGACAATTGGAATTGATCAGAATTACATCCAGAATTCAATTTGTTCATTTCAAATGAATAAATAAAGCAACAAAAATGCAAAAAAACAACAAAAATGAAATATCCTACTAAACACTCTTCTAAAATTGTCTATGAATTATTATTGTTCTTCATCTTCTTGCCACCGTCCCGTATCAAAGATCGTATAAACACCGTCATTCAGATAAAGCCGTACTTTCGCCGTTTCGAAATTCTCTTTCTCGGTTTCTCGAACAGCTAGAACATCTATAAATCCGCAGTCGACGAGACCGGTCACAGGAATTCGTAACTGAAATATACATAGTTGTCAAATGAGAAGAAACTGAAACTACTAACCCTGCTTGTTGTTTTATCCACATAATTATGAACACGGTCTGAAAGTTCCACACTACCAACAGAAATCGGTGCGCCAATGGCTTCCTGAAGAAATAAAAATAAAATCGATTTGTCTTCTCGGACCTAATTAGTAAGGGAGAGAGCGGGAGAGAGTAAAAGAAAAGGAGGACTCACAAGGGCTTTCGGGTGCTCAAAAACAATCTTCAGGCTTTCGTTGTAGTGTGGCAATTTTCGAACTTTCCATTGAACGGATTTTTGAGCTAGATAAAGTCCAGTCGATCCCATCACGAAAACTCCTGCCGCCACTTTTACCAATGTTGTTGTTTGAACCTGAAAAGCTAAAAATTGAAAGTTTTAGTTTCGCGCAGAAAACGAACCATTGTTTAAATCTCTTCACCTTTTTGTCATCTGTATATAAATCTGAACGAATCTGAAAGAAAATTTGAACTTTAAAATTAAATCAAGAAAACTATAGCGTCAGTCAGCTGGAGGAAAAACATTTATTGAAAGGAACAGGGACGAGATTTTACAGAGTATTGAAGGAAACACTTCACACCGGATCCGCTTTATACAAAGTCCAGGCACAAGTTTGACCGATTCCAGCCATGGCTACAACTTGCCAACCTTCTTTCTCTAATTGGTTTAGAACTTTTCTGGGCGACCATTTAGTAATGTACTCCTTCAAAGCAAATAATTTTTTGAACCACTGTATCTTATCACACCTGGAACTCATTTCCGAGCTGCTTCATTAGTTTCGCTTCCAGTTTCTCCATCAACTTCGCATCACTCTCTCCATCCCCTACCATTGTAGGACCACACTCCATACGAATTTGGGTGGATATCAGAATATATGGCATTGTATTTGAAAGTAGAAGTATGCACTCTTGACAACGCAGAATCGATCCAAGAGGAGGAGAGAAGCAACAAAAGCCAACAGGTTTCTCGTACAGAAAGGCGGAAGGAAACGGTCAGACACAGACAAACAACGATAAAAACGAAAATGTGATAAGGTCGGGAGATGAGGTCAGCAGTTACAAAAATAACAAATTTTCATTCCAACCTGACTGACACCTTTTTTAGCCAATGCGTTTCAGGTAATATAAAATTAGGCCACAACCATGAAGTACATAGAAAGGAAAAAGTAAAAAGGTTTCATTCGACAGTGAAGAGTATTGAAAGTGCTGGAATACAAAAATTAAATATGTTCATGTTTTCTATGCACGGTATTTTCTGAAGAAACCCGATATTGGGATGCGAATAGTGAAGAGATAAATAAGGTAAAACACAGTTGAAGAAGTTAGGTTATTCGATTGGTGGCATGCTGAGTCCTTCATCTTCGTTGTATAGAATCGATGGCTTCTGACGTCCTGATCCAGACTTCATATCCTTGTTTTTGATTTGAAGCAGATTGTTCAGATGGTCAACTCTGGAAGCACGGCGTTTTTTCTTTGAAATTGCGATTATAACTTACTTGGCGATCTTTTCAAGAATGTCATGGCGAGAAGGGACTGGTGCTACTTCTGACCAAAATACCATTTCTCCTTCGACTGTTACATTGATTCTGTTCTCTGCCACCAACTGCTCAATAAGGTCCGTCACTTGATTACGGTTTTTCAGAAAGGCCAGCTTTTGAATTTCGGACACTCTAACAGAGCTGAAGATTTTGGCCAGCGCAACGATGGTCTTTTTTCTCATCTCAGCGACCATAAGCTTTGCAAGTTCAAGGTTTCCATCCTGAAAAATGTAAATTCAAAATTAATAAAACTGGAACGATTTCCTTACTCTTCTCAGTTTATCTTTTGCATTCTGAACAAGTTCATCGACTTTGGCATGTGTATTCGCACTTCTGTTGAACTTGACTTCCGACAAATGCTTGTATTCCGGAGTTTTCAATTTCAGGCTTCGAGTTCCAGGCAACTTATCAGTGTTGTCTACTACCACGCCATTAAGAATGAGAGAAACGAGCACGAACCTGAAAAATTAAATGAGTCTCATTTTCCAGGTCCCAGTTTTTTTTTTTAATTCGACAATAATCCGAAACGATGATCACTTACTTTTTATATCCTTCAACAATCTGATCCTGTGCCGAGTAAGCTGGGATTGAGAGGAGTGTTTCCAGGAGGAAAAGCGCCCCTTTGTAATTTTTCAACTCGATCAAAACGCATGCACCGTTGTACAGATAATCAAGCACAAACTTTGGATTCAAATACGGGCTGGGTGTATTTGTATTTCCAAGAGAGCTCATTGGTCCTTGTCCTTTATGGGAACCCTGGAAACTATCATTTTTTCTAACTTTTCATTTGAAATGTTAACAACTACCTTCAATCGCGCAATACTGTACGTTGGGAACTGCTCATCCAGCGAAGCATCCTGCACGCGCTTCTCGTTTGCAACTTCATCGATATGAATATTTACGAAGGGCTCCACGGAAGAATAGTCCTTGGTTTTCAACGCACAAGCGAACAAAACACTGTGAGCAGAAGTCAGTACATTGGAATGACTTCCACCAGGAGGATACATTGTTGCCAATGCCTTTGAGATAATCTTCTGTCCAATTTCTGGTTTGTGCTTCTTCTCCATGCAATAACATCCGACACTGCGTATAAGCGGGAAAATGAATTCTGGGACCAGTTTAAGATGCTCTCCAATAAGCTGGTTCTCCTCAAGATAATGATGAATCAATTCGACAGCTCTCTCTTGTCCTTGCTCATTATTTTTTGATGACGATGAATCGAACAATCCCTTTATAGCGGCGGCCATCGCAGCGGAGCCAACGTGTGCATTGCAGTTTGTCAAGAAGACTTCAACATCAGCTGTTTTTTTCTCGAAGAGATCCTTATTTTGACGAACAATATCTGCGGCTCGTTCACCAACGTTTTCTAAAGGCGACATATGTAAGAGATGATTGAAAATGAGGAACTTACCATGACTTTCTGTCTGCAGCTGATTTATTGCCTGACAAAGCATGTCCATATTTCCACAATCTGAACTTGCCGCGGATGAGGATGCTCCTGTGAAGAACTTGTTGAAGAACGCTAAAATTTTGACAAGGCGATGCTATCGGCGCCACAGAAAACTTAAAGAAACTTACTTGCCATCGCCTTGTTGTTTTCCAGACTTTCGACAATCCCTGAAAATTTACATTTATGTTTTCAGTCAATGTTACAAAGTTCGAGAAAATGAATAAGCGATTTTACAAAGTACGAGGCAAAATAAGCTAGTGTGTTAAAATCTCAAAAATAAGTTAGGAGGAAAAGTACTCCTCGTCATTATCAGTTCGATTCTGAGAAGCGTCATAAAATGGAACAGTATCAAGAGCAGAATGCATGTTGACCATATGAGAGTTCATCTCTTCAAACAGCTTTTCAATTATTCGTTCTTCTTCTGAATCCTCCGAATCCGACTGAAAAAAGTATGTGATTTGCAGATTAAAGTATAATTTCAACTTACGGATTCCTTCGATAATTTATTTTTCCTCTTTTTTCGTTTAGCTGATTCAATTTCATACACTTTCAAGTGAATGTTTGATACATCTTCATGCGCTTCTTTCACTTTTTCCATAGCAGATATTTGTGGTTCATCAAGCCAACGCAGTTCTCCGTTTCGAAATTCTTCCAGAAGCTTGAGCATTCCCTTTTCTTCAAATATCGCATTGTTTGGGTCAAGTGGAGGTGGTTCTCGAACCAGAGTCTCTGACATATTATTGGGGTCCCATTCGTAAACGTCGGCGTTTGCTTCGTGGCCGATGTGTTGCTCATCAAGTGTTCTGGACTCGAACCATTTTTCTTCAGACTCCGGGCTAATCAGTTTTTCCGGTCTTTCGACTGGCTCTTCTTCCTCTTCTTCTACAATCTTCTTCTCTTCGCGATCGCCTCGCGTGAATCGATGAAAAAAGTTGGTGATCGAATTAGTCGTATCCTTCCTTTTCCGGGTCAAATCTTCTGCTAATTTGCTCGGTTTGATTTTCTTTTTCTCCTGAAATTCTATTATCGTCGATTTTCGGAGTGTTTTCCGTAAAACTTACTTTAGTTACTGTCAAGTCATCGATTGATTCGGATAAGTCTTCGGATGCGACAAAGGATGTCGAAAGTGTAGAAGAAAAGCCTAATTGATTAGCAGTTGAATTCTGTATAATAATGAATTATTCAGAATCCTACCAAATTGCAGTCAACCTGTTCCTCGTTCACAACTTCAACTTTAATTGGCTCGTTGGCAGTGGCTCCAGAACCAAATCGATTTTCATTCGATTTCGGTGATAAACTCACATCTCTTGACATTTTGATTGATGTAAAAACTAGTTGCCTAGTGTAGGATATTTTAATCAATGCAATGCAAAAGACATGGGAGTTTCTCTGGAATTTTTATCTCAACGGTCTAGAAGTCTCACTGGCATGAAAACTAGACGAACTTTAGCAAAGCTATTGATCAGCATGACTATGCAAAAAAGTTGGAAAACGGGAAAGAAAAATCGAAATATCGGAAAGGAACCGTTTGAGCCTTTTCAAAAACTAGTAAACAAAATCTCATTGTCCGAGAGGAGTACAAGACAGATGGACTAGAAATCAATAGCCAGCCCGCGTTATTTCGGAGCGTCGTTGTCACAGTTTGAAAATCGGTTTTAGAATTTTCAAAGAAGAAGAAGAACTTGCAAATGTTTATTAAAAAGATAAAAACAAATTATGCAAATTATTCTGAGCTCTTTTTTGCAAGAGCGATTTTCTGAACCCATTCATTTGGGAGGAATTCTCCATCAGTGATTCCTTTAGCCTCCTCCTTTGAGATCATTGCAACACCATGTTTCTTGAACGCTGATTCGGATTCCTCGATTCCCTTTTTCATTAATCCTGCGCTGCACTCAGGGATAACAGCCGCGAGGAAGTTTTGCTTAACTGCATCCTGAAAACTGAGATTTCTTTCTCATGAAACTGTAGAGAAACGAACCAGACACGTGAAGCGGACACAGATGTCGTAAGCAAGTCCAGCTATAACAACAGCGTCAATTCCCTCTCGACGAAGAACATCTTCTAGTTCAGTCCTGAAAATTCAAGTCTCGAATTCCAAGAAATAAAATTGATTAGCCTGTAGAAACTTACTTGGAGCGTCCATTATTATCGTTGAATGCACTATATGAATCGAGATACGGGTCGACTCCTTTCATGATGTACTCCGCTTTCGGATAAACGTAAACCTCTGGATGAATTTCGGATCCCCAGCTCCTCTGGATGCAGTGGTCTGGATAAAGAATCTGTTCAGTCTTAATTGGTTTCATAAACTGGACAGAGTCGAAGAAATTCAGAGTTCTATTTTCGTCTTTCTTCTCCATCTCTCTGTCTGAATTATGCGCTTGACTGAGAAATGAGATGTGGTTGTGAGGGTGCCAATCCTTCGTATACACCACGAGATCCCATGTGTTCAATTGGAGAAGCTCGTTGAGCGGACCGATTGCGTTGGCTGGGTCCTGTCCAGCGTCACCATCTCCAATTTTGAGAGAGCCGTCTACAAAGTCATTTTGAAAATCAACGACGAGAAGAGCGACTCGGAGAGATCGGAGACGTGAAAGTACTTCCTGGTCGAATTGAACGGAAGTAGTGAGATCCCATTGGCGCTTCTGAAAACGGTCAGAATGTTTATTAGAACTTCAATATGCCAACTCACTCCAAGCCACGAGTTCATGATTTTCTCCGAATCCTTAACCGAATTCCCGGTTAACTGGCTCAATTGCTCAGCAATTGACTGAGACTGATTGCCAAGAATTGTATTATTATTGTTTGAGACAGTATTAGTTGTGTCCGTTGCGTTTTCTGAGTGCACCATCTAGAAAAAGAGATTATTTGTTTTTGAACAACTTGTGTCAAATGGGTGAGATGTTTGTAGAAGGCTAGTGTGAAGTAAAAACGAACTGAGAATTTCATCCACGAAAAGAGAGGCAATGGAGAGGAAGAAGGAGAAGGACAATGTTCCCTAATTCCAGGCAAAAGTGGTGTAAAGAGAGACAGAGAGAGTGCGTTTCGCTCTGTAACCTATTCTCCGATAAGTTGCAAAAAAGACTCAAAAAAGGCAACTTTGGAGTGGGAGGAGAGACCCTAATCCTATTAAGATAGCGTTCGAATTTTGATTGAATTAGTGTTTCAATGATAACCCTGAACACTCAAGTTTTTGATTTTTTGAATTTGGAAAAGCCAGTTTTAAAACGGATCGTTTCTTGATTAGAGGATGAAAAATGGCTCCTATGTTAAAAACATCAAGAATTAAAACATAACCTAAATAAGAAATGATTTTCAAATTAAAAAATCTAATCCCAGAGAGCAGAAGCTAGGTCACACACTTTCAATCACAGCTAAAATAACATTGTGATTACTGATTGACGGCTGGTGCTGAAGCAGCGGCGGCTTCCTTATCATCAAAACGTTTCTTCTGATTTACGATTGGAGCAGATAAGAGAGGTTGAAAGTGAATTGAGAGTTGAGGAAAAAAGAAATTTATGGGAATGCACTTTGCAGGATTTCGAATGGAAAGAAAATTGGATAAAAGTGTCTGATGTTCTATTTTCCACAAAGTTTGTTCAGCTTTCACAGCATGAATTTTTGTTCTTTTTGGCTTTTTGAGTATGAAATATTTATGGAAAAGGAATTTTATTCTGACACGAAAATCGGAGCTTTGACCTACAACGACAACTACCGTAACCTGAAAATATTTTTATTTTGCGAATTTCTTTTCTCATCTTTTCACAGCTTTTCGTCGAGTTTTCTGCTGTTTTCCTCAACAAAACACCTGAATTAGACAGTGGAAAATTTTACTGAAAACGCACGAAGGTGATAAATCCGGAAAAAAGTTTCTTAGGTTACGGTAGTTTTCACTGTAGGATCTCTGGGCACAGTTCCGACTTTTTGTACCAGAAGCAGAATAACATTTCGAGTTGCGCCATATAAATACTCTGAATTAAATTTGGCAAGCTACAACGTTTCTAGTCAACTGAAAACCAAAAAATCAAACGCTAATTTAGTCATGGGACCAGATTCTGAGAATTCATTTTGTGTTGTTTCCGGAGAAACAGCTAAACGTCTCAGATTACATATACACCTGATGAGAGAGCTTTACGAGGGTCTAGAGAAACGAGAAAACGTGTTGATGTCGTTGTTGCACATTTTTAGGCTGTGACAAAACAACAAAAATAGTAGAGGAAGAGAGATGGAGAGCAAAGAATGTGAAGAATGCGTTAAAGAAAAAATAACGGAAGGATGATGAGGGAAGCGAGGGAAAAGAGGAAGGAGGGCCTTTGATTTGACGACCTTCAGAAAAGAAATTAAAGTGTTGTGTTGTTGTTTCAATGAGGTACAAAGTTGTTTCTAGACATAACATTGGTGGCTGAAAAATAGTTGCGAACTTGAATCAAGATTCTATCAAATTGTAGGCATTTCGCGTTCGAAAGGGGTTTGTCTTCTACTCTTTTTCTAAAGTATTTTGATGTGACCCTAACTTAAGAGAGGGAAGAGAGCCATGTTTTTCCATTTGGACAGCCAAGTTTCCCACTCATTAGACTAGAGACTGTAGAATAGGAAGAGACGGTGTTTCAACTGAGAATTTGACCGTAGTCAGTCACGTGCAACTCACCCAAACGAGCCCGGCAAAAGCCATTGCACGACGAAGTAGCAGGTTTTGGGATAGAGTCATAATATTCATGTCGAACCCCCTCGAAAAGCGCCTCTCTGATTTCTCACATGTGCTCGACCGAGCACAAAATGGGCGGGATAGTAGAGAATTCTTAGACTCAAAGAGCAGAAGTTTATGTTTGCCAAAACTTGTTGGCGGGACGACAAAATTAGGTACTGAACAGTGTGAACACAGAGTGTGTTTTAAATTGTTTAAAGTTGGCAAATGAGACGTTTTTCAAACGGGAGACCCTTTAGATACTCAAGATACAACAGTAACAGAGGAAAACAACATTTTCAGAATCTTTTTAGGATATTTATTAATTTGCAATTCGAGAAGATAACAAGATAGCTAGGATCGTCGAACAGTATAGACGGGGACAATTAATAACCGGAACAAGAAAACTTGGAAAATCTGTGAGACATATAATCTCAAAAGGCAACCCTGCGGCTTGTGACACTTACCATACACATTCGTTCACATAAATAATACTGTAATGGTGCTGATAAATAAATAAAACGAGGTAGAGGAGCTATAAACGTGCATGGAGCTGAAGAACTAGCAATCAAAAAAGAATTTAAATATTGAAAGACCGGTAACGATTCTTGAAGAGGGTTACTCGTGCAATGGCTGGAGTCCGCCTGTTCGGCATCAGTGGCATCGGTTCAGGTGTTGATGGAGGATGGGTTTTAAAAAAGTCTTTGGCATCCGAGAAAAGCTCTTTTTGTGCAAGAGTACGGCCAGTGGAGATGACGAGCCAACGACCGGAGTACTGCAAAAAATTTCGTATTACTTTGTGAACAATCACTATTGCTGGTTAATCCGGAGACTACATCAACCCGGGGGTTCAAGGGGGTACGAAATTCAATTTTCAAAGGTATTCTGTACACCCGAGTCGAGTATTATGTACCTCTGAAGTGCATAGTACCTCAATGAGCCCAAAGTTTTTGTACTATCCGAGTTATTTGCGACCACTATCCAATTAACGAACTAACTGAGTTAAGCAGTCGGTCACCACAAAAAATATTTTTTGCTCTATAGATGTTTCTAAAAACAGTAAGGAAAAACAAACCAATGAAGCTTCTTTTTTGGGAGTTTCAAACGGAACCAACTTCCAATCCTTCATCTCCTTCTCCTTCGTCTGTCGAAGTTGATCTCGTTTGACTGACTTTTGCTTCGGTTTGACCCGGGCTTTCTTTGTTTTGACTGAACTGAATGATGGGATTTCTTCAAGCTCAGCTTTGATCGACGGCAACGTTTGTGAAGTCTTCGGTTCAACTTGAAAAGTATCTGAGTTACTTTTCAACAAGTTTCGTGATGCACTTCGGACGATTGGATTTGTACTCCGAAAGTGAGTCGCTAGGAGTGGACCCGATGAGTGCGTGTATTTATTCAAGAAACTTCCAGTTTCTATCATACCAGCATACTGGTGATAATCCATCGAATCGTTACTAACTTCGAAAAGGTCAGTGTTGATTTTCGAAGGAGTTGTAGATGGAAAATCTCCAAATTCATCGAATTTGTCTTCCATCGGAATGTCTAGTACCTGAAAAATACAGTGTTCAGTGTGCAGTAATTGAAGATATTGAAAACGAACGTCAGAGTTGGGTGAACCAAGTAATGTGAATCCATCAGGTTTCGAAGGCAATAAACACCTTTTTGAAGCACTGCCTGTTACTCTCTTGTTGTAGTATGTTCCTGATCGTCCAATATGAATTCCTGAAATTGTTTTTTTTAATTAGAATAAAACTTTTTCGAAAAAGATACTCACCAGTAACATTCTCGTTGTTTGACAACTTCAGTGGAGTTTTACTAAATGTAACTTTGAATGGGGAGGGACTCGAGATGCGAATTGACTTTCGAAGAGACTCAGGAGTCTTTATTAACTTTGTGGGCGATGAAAACATTGTTCGAATTTTCTTCTGCGAAGGAGGGGAGAAGAAGTTGAAGACAGGGTCTCTCGAAGTTCTTTTCCGATTCGGAGGCGTCCTTATTCTCGCCCATTTCGTTGGAGGAGAATGCTCAAGAGGGCCTGATGACTGGAAACTTGTAGAAACATCGGACGCTGTTGCAGCAGTTATATCCATCAAATGGGTTTCATTCAGGTCAGTGGAACAGAATGAATCATTGGTTAGGCCAAGACCACTGTCCAGTGATAAACGCGGCTGCGAATTGAACGATGTGGTTGGATTCATGTTATTGTTGTATTGCGTATAATAGTCTGAAAATAATCAGTTTTCAAGAAATATTCACAACGTTTTGAATTGCTTACCATCATAAAAAGCATTGTTATCTGCAGGAAACATCCTAAACTGTACCCGACGCGCGGCGCTGCTGCCCTAAAAAGTTTGTGCTCGCGGGCACGGATTGCCGTCTAGCTCGATGTCGTTTTCTGAAAAAATATGAGTTTAATTTATTAGGATCATTAACGTCAAGGAGGGAGTGAATCAATCACGGAAGCGAGAAAGAAGACGACAAGTGACTGACAGAAATATGGGGTGGACAATACGGGCTCAACGCGAAGAGGGGTTCGTCTAATGGAGACTGTGGTGTGCGCTTGATTGCGTCACGTAGCGGGATGGGCTGGAGAAGCTGTGGAACGGGAAGAACAAGGAAAAACGCAGATGGTGTTGCGAAATGAAGAAAAATGGAATAGGTCGCCGGCAGATCAATAAATTACAGTAACTGCAGCTTTCGCCTCAAAGCCATCGTTAGATAATTCGATCATGTACCTTTAAAGGGATACGGTAGAGAGCAAAGTTGATGAAAAATAAATATTTCCGGAAAAAAAGAAAACGTTTTTCGAATGAAATAACACAGCGGGAGTGTTTTGGACACACTGGCACGACAAAGAACATAAGGGATATTTAAAATATGAATTCTCGCGCCTCCAGAAGCCGAAAAGAAAGGGTGGAGAGAGGAAAGTTGAAAAACATTCTCAAGGTTTTTTGAGTGGTAATTGGCAGATGGGAAAATGATAGGTAACGGCTGTTGGATGTTGGAAGGGTGCGGAACAGTAGTAAAACAGTTGGGGGATAATTTCTGAAATCTGAAGCAGATGGCTGGTTGTTATGACTTAGGTGGCAGCTGATCCGCACGACGGAGAGAAAAAGGAAATGGTAGCCTAATTTGCCTCTTTCGTCAGCCACCTGTCTCGTGTTCTTCGCCGCCCAAAACAGTCGTTATTACGCTCGACCGAGATTCTGCTCCGACATGGAAACCGAAAAGCTCGTAAAGAACAAACGTATTGTCGGGAAATATAAAAAGGGCTGCTGGAAAGGACCGCCCGAGACGAATAACCAAAAAGAGAAACGGAGACGGCAGATCGACACCAACGATTTACTGCCGATTCTGATGATGAGATGCGAAACGGAGATAATGATGCAAGATTAGCAATTTCTGACACCTAGCAAAAGAAACTGTCAGCTAGGTTAAAGTGGTGTATAGTGTTGAAGGTGAAATGTGAGTAGGTCGAAGTCAATTTACATAACAACGTAAACTTTTTATGCATTGGTAAGGAAACTAATTTCAAAACTGATGTGCATAATCAACTGAACGCATGGGGAGATGAATACGTAAGACAATGGAGTTGCCTGGGTGAAGTACAGGATATCAAATTTCAATAAGACCGCTCGCATCTCTATGAGTATATTACAAAATAGAAGAAAGGGCCCATCGGCAGGTCCAAAAAACATGACAGACGTGGGATGACCGGACGATGCTGGGGGAAATAGTGTACAGTAGAAAGGAGTCTGTGAGGAAAGACAACAGGCGTTTGGGTTGAATGGAATAAAAGAAAAACGGAGGAAACTATGCGAGGATGCAACGGGAAATGAGCAGACTGTGACCGGACGGAACCTCCGGAGAGTAGGAGAGACCTGCAGCTAATTACCAGTGTTACGTGACACACGCACATCGTTGTGATGGACAGTCAGTCCGTCAACAAAACCACCTAATTACAGTTTCATGAACAAATTATATGTTTTATCTCCGGGTTTGAGGAAGGATTAGGCCTTCAAGTTGACTTTTGACTAATTAGGGAGTACCCCGGATAACTCTTTGTTGTATGATTTAAGACTTTCGGTGGAACTTCGTTAAAGGAAAGGAATTAGGGCTAATTATAAAGCGACTCCTACTAATCCTTTATTCAAAGTGGGCTCTAATTAGATACCATTTTTGGTTTTATGATCTAAACTTTGCCAAACCAGCACTTTTTTTTCAAAACGGTATGATTCTTTGGGGTATGATTCTTTGGTTCCTTTCCTAATTTGCGAAACTTTAATCTTTCTTATAGTTAATGAGAATGGGGTCCATATAAGTGAAAAGGTGAAACATATGGTGAAAATCCCACACTTAACCTACTCTAAAAGGGTCAAGTCATTGGTTCTCTCCACAAATTGTGAGAGCATAGTGAACCACTTAGGGAAAAGTGTTAGATAATGGGTGGGGACAGTTTGCACTTCTTTCCACAATCTCTTATGTATCTTATCGTTTGTGCACATGGTCTGTCCCCATAGGAGACCAACTAATTCAGAGCCATAGACAAACAGAAAGGACCCCAACAACGCATAAGAAGATGAATGCGTTTGGCCAACATTTACCCTAACCCCCAAATTACATTTACTCGCTAACACAAAAATCTGTCAGATTAGAAGAAGCACGTTCTATTAAAAATTCAGTTATAGACGGGAAGGTCCACTAGACCTCCTATCGGAATGATCAAAAAAGAAGTTCTAGGTTATCTGATGCCCCTTGGGTACTGTATAAATATAACTTCTATTTATGGCTCTTGTGTCAACGAGCGGCATGCACTTTGAGTCTTGATTGCGAAAGTTTTGATGGCATTGGGATCGGTTACTAAAGAATGCACTTTTATAGATGATGGATGGGAGGAGAAAGAAGTGGTGGTGGTAGGAAATGGATCTATACCCGTGGTGCGAAGGGGTTGTAAACGGACAGGGACGCATCTGCTTGACCTTGCATCCCAACCATCAATGGGCGTTATGAGCCTGTATTAAGAGGGCTTTCTTGCACCCCCGTTTTTTTCAAGGACCAATACCTCCCCGTGCTCTTTTATGCAACCCTCTCTTTTGTTGGCTCGAATAATGCATGAAAGGTCGTTGATGATGACTGAGTGGGGGACTACTGTGTGCTTGTATCGGGGAGAAAGTCGTGTAAACTTTAAGCTACGATAAATAGTTGCTTAGTCAGAGACAGACGCACTGTGAATGATTGAATAGATGGTATTTATGCAAATGAGAATTAGAAATCGAAGCAAGCTCGAGAAGCTTGTTTCCCGCTGTTTTTGAATAAATAAGGAGATGGAAACTGAATTATAAACATCGAGGGATGGAAAGGGGGAAGATAAAGAAGGCGTTGGGCCTGTCTTCTCGAGTGAAGCAAACAATCGGCTGTAATCCGAGTCACAGAGGATCGTAAAAAGTTACGCAATTTGTTAGGCCAACATTTGTTTGTGGATCAGAAGAAAACCGCCCGGAGAGATAGAGAATAAAGAGAAAGATTATTTATGATAGTATGGTCCAGTATTGTTTGCTAACTTTGTAATAGTGCAGTGATATAGACATGGTTTCCCGCATAGCGTTCATAGGCCAAGTTAGGGTGTTTGGGTTTGGATTAAGAAATTGCGCAAGTGTGAATTAACTGATACAGTAGCAGTAAAACAGTAAAATACAGCCATAATCTAAAAATTAATTAGCCCATTTTGGTTTTGAACATCAATATTCACGTAAGGAGGAGTTTTTCATATATTTAGGATTACAGTAGATTTAGGAAAATGTGAAAAAATAACATAGTTGCAACGGGCCGGGCCTCCCACAGTTGAAAAATTTCCAATGAAAAATTGGGTATTTTTTTGAATTAAAAAAGAGAAAAGCTTACATTATTTAACAAATTTAACAAAGTAAAAAGTAGTCAAAAAATAGATAGTTTTTGTTTAAATTTTCGGAAAAATTTCAAAATTTTCGAAAAAAATTCAAAAAAATCAGCGTCTGTAGGAACCCCGGGCCGGCCGGGCCCGCCAAAATTCTCGACGGGCCGACCCGCGGGCCGGCCCGAGATTTTGCAACTATGAAAAATAGCAAAGCGGGTTTCATAAGAGAGACAAAAAATATATAGAACAAAGGATTTCTGGTTCCGGCTTTTAGAGAAAACAAATTTGAGAAATTCATAATATATTTCTCATTAGAACTGATTGCGAGTTTTAAATATTTGTCTAACTGAAGAAAATATTATGTGCAAATGGTTACTTATAAATTGGAAAGGTGACTACCGTAGACACCTAAGCCGTCAACTTTGAGCCCGTATATCTCGTTTCCTGTGCAAGATATGAAAAAGTGGTCAACTAACAAAGTATTTCTGATGTTATGATAAAGATTTTATCAGTTTACTACTTTTTGATATCTTTTACAGGAAACGAGATATATGGGCTCGAAATGGGAAGTTCAGTGTTTACTGTATTCAAAACCTCCATAAAAATGCAAAAAAAGTTCGATCACAGAAAACAATATTAGCAATTTATAAGCAAAATATCGTGGTTCAGAAAACAGCGATTTCTACCAGACTGCTAGGTAGAGCAATTCAGTCAAAAGTGGAGGAGGAAAAACAGCAAGATGTGGAGAAGAGCCTCTTATGCCAAACTGTGCAGGAAACAACAAAAAAGTGAAGGCACTGTACTTCCTTGGGTTTCCCGTTCATTTGACATGCAAGGACACCGTCTCTCGGGGGTCTTCATCTCAATGTAAGAGCGCGAATCTGGCGTCCATCAAACTCCTTCATCTCCTCTTCTTCTTCTTCTTCTTCTTCTTCTTCTTCTTCTTCTTCTGCTTTTTGCCTCTCTACGTCTGGCATAAGACGACAAAAAACCATTAGTTTTTTCGCGCGCGCCAGCACGCGTACAGCCAGAAGAACCTTCAACAAGACGACGAAGAAGATCGCCGGCTGTTACCGAAATGTTCTTTGTTTGAGTGAAAAAAAAGAAAGAAAAAAGAGGAGGTTGGACGATGAGGAAAATAGATGAGGATGTGGAGGGAAAAGAGAAATCACTTGGTATTAGAGAGTATCGAAATTTTTTGTCTGAACGATTTGGTTCGCGCACAATGGGGTGGAATCATCAAAAAACGCATTCCAGTAATAGTGTTGAATGAGACAACTAGACGGTCAATCAACTGCCTGGCACTGGATGGGCGAGCAACTAATGACTGATAACAGATTATAATGGACACTTCAGATGACCTGTGGAAAAGGTCGATATGAGAAAGATAGAGTTGGTGAAGGGGAAGGGACCATCTGAAGAGGGCTAGAAAAGAGATGGACAAATGTGATTAATGGGGGTCCAAAGTTAGATTTTTCCCCTCGAAAGAGTTTTTTTTAAATATAAAAACTTCTGAATTTTCGAATTTCTCATTTTTCAAAACTCTGAATTCTCGAGTACTGAAATTATAGAAAGCTGGATTCCTGAATTCCCAAATATTCAAACTTATTTTTTAAATATCCGAATTTCTCAAAAAATAATTTCTGACTGAGTTTCTGATTCACAAAAATTACATTTCTTCCGAGACCCGAAATTTGAAAACTTCAGAATTTCATAATTGTTGAATTTTCAAATTTTGCAATTTTCGAATTTTCTAACATTGGAGTTTCTAAATTCCTGGACTTTCAAATTTATGTATTTCCGATTTTTTAAAGAAAAGTGTAGTTTTAGCTTTAGCTTTAGATTTTCAGAATTTTCCTATTTCGAAACTTTCGGAAGAATCAAGAATATGTGAATTCGAATACGTAATCCCAATTTTTGTATGCCTGAAATTTATAGCATATTTTTTTGTAAATTTTGGGAACAGATAAGTTTCTCACAACAGTGATTTAAAGACACCAAAAAAACACCAAAAAAACCAGACACCAAAAAAAAAAAGTTTTCCTGATGTTTTGCCTGGAGAACCCACATGAGGAGTTGAACTCATGCTGGACAGCTCAGGGGTACAGCGCCGCTACCGGCTGAGCTACGGGGGCGCGCAGGTGCCGACCAATGGCCTACATAAGCGCGGCGCGATTTCGTCCCCCAAACTGTCCCACAAAATTTTTGCTGTCTGGCCTCCTTTAAGTATTTTCTTAGCGAATTTTTGTCAAAAACTTTTGGAAATTTATATTCCCTTTTATTGTTCCAAGCCCAACTAGGAGGGCCCTTCTATTCTTCCCCCATCCTATTAAAAAGGCCGTTTTAATACAGGATTTACGGTATCGGAATAATTCTATTTTTGGAAATTTTCTTTTTCCAAACAGAACGATTTGAAAACAAAAAGATGACCAGTCATTTCCCATAAATAGGCGTTTGCACTTTTCGGTAGAGGGGTGACAAAGAGTTGCACTTTTATACCTGACCGAGACAATTCAAACATTTATGATATCATTTAGAACGGTTTTTTATGGGAAAATTAAAAAAAAAAGATTTATGTAAGTCATAAAAAAAAGAAGAAAAAAGAAAAAGGAATGACGAAAAAAAGAGTTCATCGTGGAAAACCCGCAAAAAGAAAAGAGAAAAGAAAGAAAAGGAAATGGGGAAGACGACCTATTTGTATTGTGCTCTGATATACTGATAAAGATTGGAGAAAAGTGATAACGTTGTGGAGGCCAGAAGGATGCATATGACAAGGATGTAGAGATGTTTTTCAGTGTCACAGTCTTCAGATTTTAGAGGATCTGAAAAAGAAGACTCTAGATTAATCAAAACATCTCAAACGACTCACCTGTCTTCACATTCGTATCTCCATCGTCCAATTCGACACTGACACTGTCAAACAACCTCATTTCAGACATTCCCTCTTCCAAAATTTCACGTCTTCTTCGCAGTTTTGAGCAGATATTTGGAGCTTTGATCATCGGAGTGAACTCGATTGTACATGAAAAGTAGACATCATCGGGCCCAGGAAATTTGAAAGCTTTTATCATCAGATAGTAGAACATCATGTTTTCGGAATCCTTGGCTCGATGGAGAGGTGAAGCGAACTCTCGACGAATTACGCATCTGAATAGTTTTGATAAATAAATTAATAAACTGTATAATCTTTGAATTCATGTGATGGAACTATTCTGTTCAGAGCGTAGCTGGAAAAGCATTCAACTAGTGAAGGAAATACCGTAAGCACTCTAATAGGACATCCCCGCATATATACACTTTGAGCTTGGTTACCTCAATTTCTATAAGAGATAACGAAAATCAGTCAACTGTTAAAATATTTGTAATTATATTTTTGATATTATGATGTACATTTTTCCAGTTAAAAGATTTTTGATATCCTTCACAGGAAACGAGAGGAATTGACTCAACGTTAGCAGTTATGGAACCTTCTATTACAGGTTTCACTGTTTATAGCCGAGATGCCCGGATTCCGGAATCCGAAAAAATTTCATTTCGAATTCCGAATTCCGGATTCCGAGAAAATTATTGTATTCCGGATTCCGGATTCCGTTTTCGAAAAAAAATCATTTCGGATATTTGGAATACGACTTTTACTAACCCATTCTCATCAATCATCTGTACTTTTGTATCTCCTTTTCCGTCTGTTGCAAAGCAGGAGTGGACGAACATATCGAATTGATCAGTTTCTAAAAGTTAATATTTTTAATGAGATGCGTATATAACAATAGTACTTACCATTCAAGTAACTCTTGGCTTTCACCACCAGCGAAATATTGTCTCCAATTTTGATTGGAGTTGTAACCGGTGGAGCAAATGGTCCTTCCCCTCTTTGAATTTCCAGTGTAACTTCTGGCTCGATCTGTTGCTCCTGAGTTGTTTTGAGCACTGATGTAACTGGATTTCTTCCTGGATCATCTGATTGAGGTTTTTTGCTCTTTTCTGAGCTTGCACCGGATGTCTCATCTGCAGATGCTTCGTGGATCTCCTTGCTATTAGCATTATCCGATGAAAATGGCGCATCTGCAGTTGGTGGTTGTTCTCGGTATGTTTTAGGAGTTGTCACATCCACATTAGAAACAGTTGGTGGAGTTGCATATGCATTCGGATCATTCCATTGAGAAGCATCCACTTTTGTAGATGGAAGGATTCCAGGAGCAAATGGAACTCCAACTCCTTGTTTGAAATGAACATTCGGAATAATTGGTAATGGAAGAGGAGGAGGAGTTGTTGTGGTTGGAAAAGTGAACATGATTGGGGGAAATGCAGTAGTAGACGTTGTAAAAACACGAGCCATCACATGAGGGGATCTTTGAGGGATTGGAAGAGGTGGAAGATTCGGGAATAATGGAGGAGGCATCGAAGGAATCCCAACTGTGGAAATGAGTCGAGTTTCATATCCTTCTGATGGATCCTTTGCCAAGTGAGTGCTCGGAGCTGATAATTCAGGTGATATCGGTGACATTGGGTAGGTAGATACTGGTTTCATCGAAGGTTCGTATGGTTTTGCTCCCGGGATCGGCCAGTTTCCAAGGTGAGAATCTCGTGAGAATGCGGCCACTTGACGGACTTCAGACTGAAATATTTTCAAACTTTCTTCTTGAAGCCCATCCAAACCGTCAACTTTGAGCTCAATTATCTCGATTCCTGTGAAAGATATCAAAAATGTCTCAACTGATAAAATGTTAGTGATATCATGGTGAAAAATTTATCAATTGAATAAGTTTTGATAGCTTTCACAGAAATTGAGATAATTGAGCTCAAAGCCAACGGCTTGCGAGGGGTTCTATTAGAGGAAATACGGTAGTAACAATCTCAAATAGATTTACCGGTTTGATTGGCATGAGATTTGAGTGCATTTTGGTGCTCACACTGCTCGCAACAGGTCTAATTGGCTGTTGTTGATAAGAGTCCTTTGTTCCGATTCCGTCGTCTTTAGCCGCAGCCCTAAATTATAAATTCGTTATGTTCACTGCTTTCATCTAATCCCCTTCTTACGTCTTCAGCGGGTCGGTTAACCTGCACACAAACGAGAATTGTTTATCCGAAGACGTTTGGGTGTCTTTGTCCATCTGCACATAAACTCTATTCTCCATCTGATCGATCATCTGAAGTCAAAGAAAAAGTGAAATCATAACGCCACACTTCTATTATGTCACTGTCCTACTTTCTCTGGTTCTTCTTAATAATTTCTATGTCAACTCAACTCTCTCTCTCTCTCTCTCTCCGTAAATAATTGGCTGGGGTATCGGGGGTCTTTGTTCGAGACTCTTGAGGTCACACAGAGACATTCAATACTTACATTTCTCGTGGTTCTTTGCAACTTCGTTCCGCACAATTGAGCTGGAATTGAGAAAAGTACAGTATCCCGATCGATATTATTGTAGTAGAGGCAGTCATTGGAAGTGGCGTAATTCAAAGAGTAGATCTTTCCGGTAAATGGTTTGTCGAAATCTATTGAAGCAGTTATACCATCACTACTGCACATTGCTGATACGGCTGGAAGTTTAATTGGATAAATAGACAAATATCGGGTTAAAGTCATACTAGTACTTGTGGTTCCAGCAATTTATTTATAGTTTTAAGTTTCCATTTTTTTGCAAACTTTTGAAAAATCTGCTGTAAAACCTGTATTAGAAGGGCCCTCTGTAACAGAAGGGCCTTCTTCAAGATATGATGCTAGAATATAAATATTGCCAAACATTTTCAGCGAAAAAATTTTTCGCAAATTCTAAAATTTTATAGAAATTTGTTAAGATAATCTTATTCGTTCAAAAACTTGCTCAAATTTTGGGGAAATCGATAGATATTCATGAATTTTGAGCAAGAATTCACCAAAATTTTCGTTGAAAATATTTGGAGCAAGTGACCGAAAAAATAGAAGGGCCCCTCTCATTAAAGGGTCCCGGTAATAGAAAGGCCTTCCAGAGATATCCTGGGACAATTGAAGGACCCTCCTAACTTTTAAATTTGAGTCAATTTATCTCGTCTTCTGTCCGAGATATCAAAAAGTGGTCAACTGGCAAAATATTTATCATACTATCAAACTGTGTTTTATCAGTGGACACATTTTTGATATCTTTCATAGGAATCGAGATAATTGAGCTCAAACTTGACAGTGTGCGGCCCCGACAAGTGTTACGGTAATCAAGTTGGAACTTTACATAATTTAAAAATAATTTACATAATTTAAAAATAATTTACATAATTTAAAAATTCAAGTATTAAAAAGACATCAACTAATCATGAAAGCTTGATAAAAAGCTTACCACGAATTTCGGCATACTGTGGAGTGACATACTGATTTTGACAAAACTTCAAAGATAACAAGAACAGCAGAAAACTTCGTTTCATTTTTAGGTTCAGAATTAGAGAGGTGTCTGGCTGGAGAGCGGATACCTTACTCTTTTACTTCCACTCCCTTTCTGTCTCTCTTTCCCTCCCGTGGGTTAATTACATTTGGAGGTAGGAGGGGCACGTCGAAGCGAACGAAGCAAAAGAATCGAGTACCTGTGTAGTAGTAGAAGTAGTACACAAACTGAAAAGAAGAAGGAGTCACTTGTGGAAAAGAGAGAAGCGAAGGTCATGTCACTAATTGACTAGGAAATGGACTAGTGTTGTCAACTTTCAGAAAAAAATATGGTATAATATGTATGGTGTATTTAATGGCCAAGGTAATTTTTCGGAAAAAACGGGAGAATTCAAAAAAAAAGAAGTTTGAATTGGAGTTACATAAACTGACGTCTGGAGGAAAAATTTGGTTTTGAATCAGTGAAAACTGAATAGTGTGAATTCGAACTATTCCGGAGGATGATTATTTTAGAATCTTATTGTTAGAATCTCTAAATTTCACAATTCCAGATTTTTCAGAATTTCGGAAACTCAGAATTTCATAACTTCAAATGTTTCGACATTCAGGTATTCAGGATTTTATAATTTCCGATTTTTAGGCTCTCTGACATTCAAAATATCAGAATTTCAGAATTTCAGAATTTCAGAGTTTCTGAATTTCTGAATCCCAGAATTTCACAATTGCATAAAAAAAAGTTATCCGCTTTGCTTGAATCAGTCCGTCATCTGAAAATACTTCCAGGAATAGAAAGAGATCTTCATCAGTCCATTACAGATAGAAAGATAATTCTGAAAGAGGCTGAATGATTGGATACACAAATAAACAAAAATAAAATGCAAATATTTATTCAAAAGTTCAGTTCCATTATATCTACTGTGGTGGTGGAACAGCAGCCGGATCCTGTGCTGGTGGTGGAGCAGCGGCTTCGACAGGAGTGGCAACTGGAGCTCCTCCCGAAGATCCCTTGCTGACTTCATAAGCCTCGATTCCGAGTTGTCCAACCGAAGCAAGGACGTGGATGAGGACGAAGAGGGAGAAGAAGGCGTGGCCGGAGACGCACAAGAATACAAAGATTCCAGATACGGCTGGGACGAGAACGATGGCAGCCGATTTGCCACGAACTTCATTGTCAGTTGAGCTGAGAACCTTGTTGATCTCTTCACGTCCGTCGATGTTGAGAGCAATGTTGTGAGCCGAGATGGCAGCAGCGCCTCCGAGGAAAATGAAGTAGAAAAGTTTGGCAAGGAAGTTGCAGTCACCAAGTGATCCGAACAGAACCATCAAGAGCTGAAAATTAAAGATAGGGGTGGTTCCGGGAGCAATAGGAATACCTCAAACGAAGAGCAAGTGATGACAGCAGCACGAGCGGCAAACACGTACTTATGGAACTCGTACGGTGGGATTTGATCCATTGCAGGTGTAGTGGAGTGAGTAGAATCGGAGAGTATTCGAGACTGATTGAGTTTCACTGTATTCTCTGATCGTTTTATGATGAAGAAACTAGGCTATTGGGTTGATCTGTTGATAAGGGAATTAGGCAAGTTCACGTTAAAAAATTTTAAGAATTTGTTACCGTATTTCTTAAACAAACCGTCAACTTTGATCTCAATAATCTCGTTTCCGGTTACAGATATAGAACGTTTGTCAATAGATAAATTTTTTATCATAATGTAACCAACATTTTATCAGTTGACGAAATTTTGATATCTATCACAGGAATCGAGATAGCTGAGATCAAAGTTGTGGACGGTTTGGATGGGCTTCGATTAGAGGAACTAGGCCAAACACTCATATCCACCTTCCCACCAATTCCAAAAACGTGTGAATTCTACGAATTTGCTCCATATTCCACCCGAAACCATCCTATTACGAGTTCAGTTTTCGTTGATAGTCGTCAGTAATGTTCGGGTGCTGCAAGAAGAAGAAAACGAACAAGTCGTTGGATGAGCTCAAAAAAGATATCGTTATCGATGATCACGAGATTCCCCTCGACGCTCTTCTCAAGAGATACTCATCGTCTGAAACTGCTGGAATATCGGAGGCAGAAGCTGCGTCCCGGCTCAAAAAAGATGGTCCAAACGCGTTGACTCCTCCCAAGCAGACATCTAAATGGGTGAAATTAGCTGGCTCAATCTTCGGAGGTTTCAACTTTCTTCTTTGGTGTGCTGCTGTTGCGTCAGCTATTGGTTATGGTATGGATCTGTCGATGAGTGGTGACGAAGAAGTCCCGAAAGATAATGTAAGTTTTTTAAACTAAATTTACTTTTATTTTTTAACTGTTCTAGATGTATATGGCTCTCATTCTGGCAACTGTTGTCACTGTAACTGGATTCTTTGATTTTTATCAAGACAGGAAAAGTGGAAATTTGATGGATTCATTCGCCAACATGATCCCACCGAAGACCCTGGTCGTCAGAGATGGAACAACAAAAGAAATCGAAGTGAAGGATCTTGTTGTTGGAGATTTAGTTCGTTTCCGAGGAGGAGATCGTGTTCCTGCTGATCTTCGTGTTACTCTGGCCAGAGGACTAAAAGTGGACAATTCCAGTTTAACAGGAGAATCTGAACCACAGACCAGAAATACCAATTTCACAAGCAAGAATCCATTGGAAACAAAGAACTTATGTCTATTCAGTACAAGTGTTCTCGAAGGATCCGGAGAGGGAATCATCATCAGAACTGGAGATCGGACTGTAGTTGGAAGAATCGCCGCATTGACCACTCAAGTGGATTCTGGACCAACTCCATTGGCAAAAGAAATCAATCATTTCATCAAAATCATTTCTGTGGTTGCATTCACTGTTGGAGTTGCATTCTTTGTTTTGGCCGTTGTTTATGAGTATCCACTTCTCAAGGCTATCGTGTTCTTCATGGGAATTGTCGTAGCAAATGTTCCAGAAGGAATCGTCCCCACTGTAACAGTCAGTCTAACACTCACAGCCGTCAAAATGAGGAAGAAGTTTTGTCTTGTCAAAAAACTTCAAGCTGTCGAAACGCTCGGATCTACATCCACGATTTGCTCTGATAAAACGGGAACTTTGACTCAAAACCGAATGACTGTAACCCATTTATGGTTCGACGGTCACATCAAAGACGCCGAATTGCTGCCACCGAATGAGAATTATCACGGAGAGAAGAGATATTTGAACAATGACTCTTATCAGAAACTGTTGAGATGTGCGACACTATGCAGTCGATCTCACTTCAGAGTCAGTTATATTATTGTTATGTCTCCTAATTAATTCATAATTTCCAGGTTCCTGAATTTGATGTTCCTCTGGCTAAACGTGTTGTGAATGGAGATGCTTCTGAAGTAGCTATCATGAGATATTGTGAAATGATTCGTGGCGATGGGCAAGTCGACGAATTCCGGAAAACGATGCCAAAAGTTGGCGAGATTCCATTCAACTCCACCAACAAATATCAATTTTCAATTCATCCAATGTCCGAGAAACAGAATATTCTTGTGATGAAAGGAGCTCCAGAGAAGATATTGAAGCTGTGCTCAACCTATTACCACGAAGGAGAAACGAAGAATGTATCGAAGAAGTTTGAGAGGGATTTCCAGAAAGCATACGAAACACTTGGATCCTATGGAGAACGAGTTTTGGGATTCTGTGACCTTGAAATGAGTACGACAAAGTTTCCACCAGGATATCAGTTCAACATGGAGGATCCCAACTTCCCCATTAAAAGTGAGTAGTTGGTTTTTTTTATTTCAAAAAATGTATTTTTCTTTTTCAGATCTTCGTTTCCTTGGCTTGATTGCAATGATTGATCCACCACGTCCTGGAGTTCCAGAAGCTGTTCGTGTCTGTCAGAATGCTGGAATCCGCGTTGTCATGGTTACAGGAGATCATCCCATCACTGCCAGAGCTATCGCCACCCAAGTCCATATCATTGAACAAAATGAACAAGTCACTGAAATTGTGTCCCCTGATCCGAAATGCGATCCAGCGAGTGATGAGATCTACGGGAAAGGGAGACTCAAGGCAACAGGAGCTGTGGTCATCCATGGAGAACAATTGAGCACGATGTCACCGAAAACACTGAAGACAGTGGTTACCAATTACCATCAGGTATTGATATCTAATGCATTTTTTTCCCTAGAACCATTTTTTCCAGATCGTGTTTGCTCGAACTTCCCCAGCTCAGAAACTTCAAATCGTCGAAGCCTTCCAATCGGTCGGAAATGTAGTTGGTGTGACTGGTGATGGAGTTAACGATGCTCCTGCTCTACGTAAAGCTGATATTGGAATTGCCATGGGAATCGCTGGTACTGACGTTTCAAAACAAGCTGCTGATATGATTCTTCTCAATGACAACTTTGCCTCGATTGTCACTGGAGTTGAGGAAGGTCGTCTGATCTTTGATAATCTCAAAAAGTCGATCGCTTACACTTTGACTAGTAACATTCCAGGTGCCTCTCAATGCTTGAATTTTCATATAACACCTCTTTTTAACTTCCAGAAATCACTCCATTCATGTCCTATGTTCTATTCGGTCTACCGCTTCCAATGTCGATCATTGCCATTCTTATGATTGATCTTGGAACTGATCTCTGGCCAGCCATTTCATTTGCCTACGAAGTTCCAGAAAGTGATATTATGCAGAGAGCTCCTCGTAATCCAATCCATGATAAACTAGTCAACAAACGACTTGTCATGTTCTCCTACATGCAAATTGGAGCGATTCAAGCATGCGCAGGATTCACAACCTATTTTGTATTGATGATGTCAAATGGATGGTTCCCCAAGGATTTGATCAATTTGAGTGAAAAATGGGACAACAAGTATATTGATGATTTGGAGGATAGTTATGGGCAACAATGGAGTTATGAGAGTCGAAAAGCTCTTGAATCATGTTGCTACGGAACATTCTTCTTCACGATTGTCGTCACACAATGGGCGGATTTGTTTGCTTCCAAGACTAGGAAGAATTCGTTGGTTATGCAAGGATTGGAGTAAGTAATTTGGGTCATTGCTCAGTTTCGAAAAATGTTTTATTTTTTCAGAAATCAAGTTCTCAACACTTCGGTCATTTTCACATGCTTCCTGGCCACTTTTGTTCTCAACACCCCATTCGTGAATGAAGTTTTAGGAGTCCAAGGATTCCGTTTGGAAATTGGATTCCTTGCATTACCATTCGCTTTTGCCATTGGATTGTATGACGAATTCAGAAGATTCTTCATCAGAAATTATCCCGGAGGATACATTTATAAGGAGACGTTCTATTGATTTCTGTGTTTTCAAGTTTTAGTAATTGAATAAAGTTTTGAAATGCCATTCCATTGTCATGTGATTCCGAATTTGCGAATATCTCAATCTCGGAACTTGAAACTTGTCAAAATTCAGAAATCCCGAGAACTCTATGATGTTCCTGAAATTCTGTGCTTCTGAATTTTCTAACTTCAAAATTTCAAAATTTTCGAATATCAGATTTTTCGATTTTTGAATTTTCGGATATCTGAATTTTCGAATTTTCAAGATTCTGAATTTCCTAACTTCTAAATTTCAAAACTATTATTCGAATATCAGCTTCTTAGAATTTTAGAATTTCTGGAATTCCGAGTTTTCGATTTCAAAAATTTCAAATTTTCAAACTTAAATTTCCGAACATGAAGATTCTATTTTTCAATGTTTGAATTTCCAAGTTTCTAAATTTTCGAACTTCCTAATTTTTCAGCAGTAGAGTTTTCAAATTTTGAAAATATAAAAACTTGAATCTGAATGTGATTATTGGAATTTTCAAATTTCTGTAGTTCTGAATTTTCGATTCTGGATTTTAAAAATTTTCTGAATTAAAATTTTCAACTTTCCAAACTTAAGGATTTCTAAAGTTCGAATTTCTGATCTTCTGGACTTCCGAATTTTCAATCTTTCAGAATTTTCAAAATTTCAAATTTCCGAACTTGAGAATTTCTGAATATACAAATTTCAGAATCTGAGAATTTTCGAAATTTCGAATGATGATTTTGAGACTTTGTTGAACAGAAATAAACATTTATAAAAATTATTATTATCATAGACCAAGTAATTATCTTCTCCCAATTAACGAAGAATGTGAGCTGCAGGACCTCCAGCCTCCCAATCGTATGGAGCATGCTCATTAGTTCCTGTTGAAGAATAGGATTGACGCATTTTATGAAATTTTCTATTTTTTCTTTCTATTCTTTTCTGCTTACTCCATATATCATCTGATAATCAGGTGTATCGTAGTATTTCATTTTGCCGACATAATTGAAAATTTCTTGAAACTCCCGAGGACACGGTGAAGGGAACAACTTCTGGGCGTTCTTTCTAATCGAATGTTTCTGTTTTCCAACCTCATTCATATCACTGATATGAGCCCATGGAAGACGGCCATAAGACAATTCAGCTTGCATGTACATCCACGTCTCCAAGTCGTCGCTCCTGACAAGAATGTATTTTTACAAATATAATCTTATTAAGATACCGGCACAAGTCTTTCTGCATATGACAACTAATCGAAGCGTATCTGACAGTTCCGCGGAAACCAGCTGCTTGCCGTGGTTTACGGATCAGGCCCTTGAAAAGTTTTCTGTTATCTCAATCTTTAAAAAAGGCTTACATCGAGTCCTGTAAATTTTCGGCACATTCCAAAATCGAGAATATACACTTTCCGGATTTCGTTGAGCTCCAGGCGTCCGATGGTATAGTTTCCGGGTTTGACGTCTCGATGCAAATACCCGATGTTATGTAGATCTTCCAATGCTTCCAGCGCCTGGATTCCAATTCCAATTGAACATCCCATTGACATGTGTCCTCCACTTCCCGCTTTCTTCAAATCCTCTAACGACTTGCCAACAAGTGTCATGACAACAAAATTGAAGTTTTTGAATCTTCCCTTATCCTCGATTCGACAGAAGTGTCGATTTCCACGTCTCGAGAGCTCTGTGAGCACTGAAACTTCGAGTTTCAAAACCTGAATCTCTTCGTTACATCCTTCCACTTTCATCGCATATTTTCCAGTGGCATCATAGACACGATAGACCGCTCTGAATCCTCCTTCTCCAAGTTTTTTCTCGATTTTCCACCTTTCCACTTGCTGTCCAGGATTCAATTGAATAAGTTCCGCTGCCATGATGAACGAATGTTGTTTTAAATCTGAAGTGTGGATTGAAAGATTCGAAGATTTGGAAGTAATGCAGGAATATGTGTGACCGGGTGAAATGGATTACTTTGTCTGTTCAGTTGTTCCTTTGAAGCCAATATTTGGCAATTAAAGACTCCTCATACAGCATTATTCTGACCTAATTTAAATGCGCGTTGCGGCCGAAAGTTCGAGGTTTGGCGGAGCTTAGGTCTGGAAGCGAAATATTTAAAGGAGCCTAGCCTATACTTCGAAAACCTTTTTAGCCTATTTTTTCGGTTTTGCGAAGAATTTTGAACAAGTTTTTCACAGAAATCCGACAAATAACAAAAAACGGCATAAATGGAATTTATTGAAAAAATAGGCCAGGAAATGATTACGAAAATACACTCTCCTTTAATTGCGCCTTTATTTTTTTGATTTTGCTAACGGACCGAAAATTCGCTCACCCTCGAATTTCAGGCAATAAGATATACGAAAACGTATTTTTCAGTTGATTTTCGGCCGTATTGGCCATTTTTAGAAATCGGAGCTTGGCTGTCAAGTTTCCGATAATTTTGAAGTTTTTTTGTGAATCTAGAACATGCCTAGATTAAAAACTTTGCACTTACAGAATTTTTTAAAGATTCCTAGATTTTCAGCATCTTGTCGATTTTTGAAAGACAAGTGCTTTTTTCCCGTTTCGGTACAAAACCAGGCCAATTTGAAAAATACGTTGTTGTATATCTTATTGACCGGCACTGTACATAATCCTCTTGATCATAATATTGTTTCTCATCTTCAGAATAGTCACATCTGGTTATCAAGTGCACTATAAAAACAACTCTATAAATGTTGTTGACCAATACTCTTCAAATCCCAAACAATACATCATCTTTTTCTGTATCCAATTTTCCTTCTCGAATTCCTATTACAATCATCTAGTTTTTTCCTGGTAAAGAGACAGAATCTCGCCAATTTCGACACGCTTTCTGACTGCGCGTATCCCTAATTCTCCCCTTAGAACCGGCCAAAAAAACGGCACAAAACTGTTACGTAACCCCTCCTCCGGGAATCATTATTCTTCACTTTTTTTCATCCCTTTTTTTCATATTCCATTATATATATATATATTTTTGAACATACAACTATTAACCCAGATTTTAGAATAATTGTCCGTTCTATTCCTTCACTTCCTATTCACTTCTATTATAATTACGGTCAATTTTCGAGCTTTCAGGAAAATGTTTCTGAAATCATCAATTTTGGTTGTACTTGTACTATCTGCCACGTGGATTCGAGCTGAAGAAGAGATGGCAATTTATGACGAAGTTGAAGATGTGACAGGAAATAATAAAACTATTTCTGGAGAAGTTGAAATTTCTGGTCAGTTTAATTTTTTTCCATTGTAACCATTATAACTACCGTAAACAGTCTCATAGACGATTGTTAATTGACCACTTTTTGATATCTCTTACAAGAAATGAGCTATATACTGTAGGTAAATTATTAGTGATATAAAGTACCTACCGTAGTCCAATTAAAGTTACTTAAAGTTCATTCACCCTTTTTTAATATTCATTGATCAAAACTCATAAATCTTGCATTGTTTTCAATGCAATCCACAATTATCCTCCCTGTCCAAACCTTTGAACTTTTCCCTATAATTTGAAAGTCACCCGGATAACCAGTTTTTTTGTTTCATCCTCAATTTTTTATTCAGATTCAAAAGCAGATGAAAAAGAAGAGAAAAAAGAGAAAAAGAGAGCAGTCGATGAGGGAAATTCGATTCAGGAGGAAGTGAAGGCAGAACTTGACAAAGCGGTAAGAATACAAAAGAATGTTGGCCATCTAAACAGTTGAGCCCATATATCTCATTTTGCGTAAAAGATATCAAAAATAGGTCAACTGACAAAATGTTTATTACAATGTCAAAAATATTTTGTCAGTTGACCACTTTTTTTATATATTTCACAGAAACCAAGATAAATTGGATCAAAGTTGAAAGTTAAAGGGGGGTGTGGGTTCTACTAGCGTGTTTATTGATTGAAATTTCCAGGTTGAAAGCTTGAAAGAGACCGCAAAAGAGAGATTGGAAGAAGAAAGAGAAAGAGAAAATGGACTTTTATCCCGATCCAATCTTGAATCTTGTGGAGCTGTCGACTGCAACCATCGAGGAACTTGTCTTGGATCGAAAAACACTTTCATCTGTGCTTGTCAATTAGGATTCTCAGGAAAAACCTGTGAAGAGAGTAAGAATTCAATTTTCTACAGTATGATTTGTCTGTTTATTTCAGCTGTTTGCGATTCTGCTCGTGACTGTAATGGCCGTGGATTGTGCTTTGGGACCACCAACCAGTTGACCTGTCTCTGTAATCTGGGGTTCACTGGAAAACGCTGTCAAACTCCAATTTAATTTTTGAAATTGTGATTCTTCTGTAAATAAAATTATGAAATCAAGTCAATAATCATCGAATATATTTATTCAAAATTTGAAAAAAAGTTAGTTCAATAGCTAGTAGAGTTCTCTCGCCAATTCTCGACTTCTTCTCTTCGCTTCCGCTCTCTTTTCGTCTTCTGTTTGGTCCTGTATCGGCTCCAAAGAGTGAAGTTTCCCCAATTCAACATATTCCCTTCTCTTTTTATCCTTATTGAATTTCTTCTCGGGAAGTTGATCCTCGGGAACCGGCTTCACGCGTTTCGATGGAACAAGACGAAAGCGGACCTTTCTGGTGATCCCAGTGATATCCTGGTATTCACTCTCCTTTGGTTTTGGCTTATTTCTCGTCGGGATCTCGACCATTTCGCTCTCTTCAGTATCCTGTTGAGTGACGTCATCCGGTAGATCTTCAGAGACAATCGGAATCGGAAGAGCATCAACTTCGGGAGGGAACGATGCCTCTTTGGATAGTCTTCTGGAGGATCGAGTGGATTTTCTACGAGCTGATGAACTATTTCTTCTCTTTTTTTCCTCCTTGAATAGATCTTTCTGAAAAAAATAATGATTTAATGGAGATGACTGAGATGCATAATACCATCTGTTGGCCAACCAGACGAGAGATCATGGGAAGAGCTTCTTCTGCATTCTGAGGTGGAGCCTGAGCAGGAGTACTGTAGTTGAAGGAGATGTTGACGGTGTAGAAGTGTTGATGAATCGACTTTGGTGAGCTCAATTCAGAAGTCGATGAAGACGATTGAACTACTGGGACAAGTGAGTGGTTAGCTGAAATTTGTTCTTGTCCAGAGAGCTTCAGATGGCAATCCTTACTGTTCCTGGACATGGTTGATGTCGAAAGCAGGAGGCGTTAGTTGATTTGACTGGATCTGGTTAGTTGATTTTGTTGGGGAATGACTGATTTTCTTTCCCTTATATACTCCGCCCAGAGACAGATTTCTGTTTCTGTTTTTTGTTTTATCTTTTTTCATTTTCAAATTGTTTTCAAATTGTTTCCGCTCAATTTTTTTACGTACGTGAAATTTTATTATTGAACGATTCCAAAAAATGTTTTAACTTTCATTATCGGAAATTTTTATTCGATAATTTGTTGTACTTTTGTTTCTGTCGTTTTGTTAATTCCATGATATTTATAGTTGTTGTGTACTTGATTTATCAAAGTAGATATACCGTAATACCTGTAATGAGAGCACACCAACTGGGA